CACCCGTGCACGTGCCTCCAACAGAACTCGTGTCGTCCTTCTTCTTGACCACGGGTGGGAGGCGCATAGCGGGGATTCGCTGGTGGTTGAACTCATTCGTGGGGTCGTACGAGTGACCCCATGTCATGTCGTTGAGCTCGGGAGAGGGCTGGTGGCTCCAATACTCCAGAGCTGACTCTGGTGCCTGCTCGATCTGGTGTTGGATGAGTATATACCAGACGTCGGAGTCAAGCAGGTCCGGCTTGGAAGGTGGCTTCCCATAGAGGAGGTTTCCATTGTGGAAGTTTGCATCGTGGAAGTTTGAAAGGTGAGACGGGGTTGGTGACGATCAAACGTGAAGAGCAATCCATGAAGCGAGGAGATGTCGACGGTCTGTCGAAGCTACCTGTCAAAAGAAATGAAGGCAAGAGGGTTATCGAGACTGGAAGAGCGACGAGAGGAAAACGGTTGTGGTCTCTGTCGATGCGCCACGGAGGTGAAGGGGAGGTTGTGATGATAAAATGTTGAGAGCGATATATAAAGCGAGGAGGTGTTGGGACGTTCCTTGAGGTTCTTGGAGCAGGTCGTAGAGGCGGTGGGGGGGACAGTGTTGTTCTGACTTTCCCCGGTTGAAGACAAGAGGGGGAAAGAGAAAGCTAAACTAGGGCAAGCCAAACTGTCAAATACCCAGGAAGGAGGTACCAGTGAATGGGAACCTCAAGAACAGACTTGGCTGAAGTTAGTGAAGGGAGTGGCTACTTCGTACCTCTGGTTAGGCGGAATAAAGTTGTCGATCAAGACTTGTCCAAAGGAGAATATAGAGGAAGCGATGAGGCGCTTCAGTGATATGTTGAGGTTGCTATGGGAGATAAAAACGACAGGAATTCTGTTGGAGAGTCGGTGTCAAGTGGAAGGCGATGGGAGAAAATGGATCGTGAGTCGCGAGTGCTTTGGTGGTGAGAAAAAAAGGAGAGGAAAGAGGCATAGAATTCTTAGTGGAAATTGCAAAAGATTGAATGGGATAATAGGTTTGGAGAGAAGAATAAATGACTGTCAGTGAATCGGATATCCAAGCACAGATTTGGACGTCCATGAGGACACCATACCTGTACCATTCATTCACTGCAGTATGTCTTTCTCGGAGTTCAAGCCCCAAGGTTCGATCATCAGTATCTAGAGGTAATCAGTCTCATATCTGCAGCGGAAACGCTCAACGCTGAGGTTTACCTTTTGCATATCCCGAGGCTGGAACAGCAAAGTGAAAACCTTCAACCGCTCCAGGCAGGTTTTATCATCGCTTTTCAGAGAACACATACATGGCATACTGGCACCCTTTCCACTCCGCGAAACCGGGACAAAGTTAAAATAGGAACCAGGAGCAGATGTGATGCAGAGTCTATTTTATACATGCCCATTCTCAAGCAAAAGAAGCCCCAAAAATATGCAGCTACAGAGTCCAATCCGTAAAAGAGCATGAAGTTTCACATTCCCCCTCCAGTCATGCAGAAGTCCTCAGGTTGTGGAGCAAGAACGGTAAATCGCTTCATCGACGCCGGGCAGGAGCAGATCAAATCTAAACGCTTTCCTGGCTTGGCAGTGCAAGGACAAGGCGGTCGGGTGGTGTTTATTTACCAAATCTGTTTAGCTCGGCTTAGTCGAAAATTCAGGTACCTTAGGTGCCAATCTATTGGGTACCTTAAGGTCGACCGAAGTGTACATTTGATCCAGCCGGAGGCTCCCATGTATACCACTATATGTATGTATGCCCTCCTGTCTGTGTGGACATGAAGATGCAGGAAATACCCCAGCACTGGGTGTAGGCAGTGTATGTACTTCCAAGCCTTGCCTTCTATTCCGTAGTGAGTAGAAAAAACCTCTCTGTCATCCAAGACTTTGCTACAAGGTACAAGCGCACTCAACATGCCTTGCTTTCATGTCCGATTTGTGTTAAAATGCACCAGCACTACCTAGGCAGGCAGGGTCCGTGAATAGAGTTACCTAGTTTTGGACATTCTATGGGGTTGTAGGCAGCACTCTTTGCAGGTACACATAAGGTAGGTACCTAAGGTATGCAACTCAAAAATAGGGTAAAAACCAGGTAAGGCGGGCTTTCTTGGGGCTTTTCAGTTCTAGTAGTTAAGGTACCTACCTACCTTACCTTTGACGGCAAGGGCTGAGCTGTGTGTGTCCCTGCCATGCTTGCCTGCCTGCCTGCCTCCCTTGGATTCCAGGTTGGTAAGTAGAGCCAGCTCCGTAGAGGTACTTCCGGTTACGTACCTTTCACTTCCACGTTCCATGCAACCGGCCAAAAGCGTCGCTCGGGATGGCGGGGGTGACTTCCAGGTGCCGCCAGGGCCCTCCTCGCGCCCGCCAGGTGGTGACTGTTTTTGCCACTAGGCGCTTCAAGGACTTGAGGGGGAGCAACTCGGAATAATTGGACTTGCCGTTGGTGCAAGCGTTGATGGCGTGATCAACTTGGCCATGTGAATTGTCGAGGGCTACCTTGCCGAGCTCATTATCCAGCCGCTTACAAGCAATACGACGGCGAATAATTTATCTTCCTCTAGACCGATCGCTTGAGTTTCTAGAAGGTGTTCAGAGTTGGCTTCCTCCAGGAAGGCGAGAGGGTTCCTTGAAGAGGAGACCTCGGCCGAACGGTTTTATCTCAATGAGGTCGGGGACCGCGTCCCAAACCTTGTGCTACAAGAAGGGTGTGAGTTCGATGCCAACCCGAGCACGTACCAACAAATGTTCGAACTGGAGGAGGTAGCAGGTGGCGACACACCTGGAGAAGTACAATGACCAAATGGCAATGTTGGGACCTGGGTTCGAAGCCCGGACTGCGTGATACTTTTTTTTTTCCCTTTATTTTCTTACCTTCTTCGTTGTTCTTGTTGTTGAAGCTGGTGATCCCTTTTTTGTTGGGCAATGTGGCTATTCTCGTGAACCGTCGAGAACCGAGCCGCCGGGACGGTGTAGGCGTGCGTACCTACAGTGGTCCGGGCGGGCCTTAGCATTTGGGGTCAAATAGTGAGGTTCATCTGGAAGACGACCGCGATTGTCGACAAGACTCGGAGCAAAAAGAAAGACGTGGGAATTCAGGAAAGCAAATATTGATCATACTCTCAAGAATATGGTTTTAAAAGACCAGCATTTAACGTTCGCGGATAAATAATATGTACGAGTGTCATTCCTGTTGAAGGTATCAAGCTATCTTGATGCACCATCAGCTGGTGTGAGTGGCACCCCCGCCGCACTCGCTTGCTGAAGCCCTCAAATCCACAGCGCCATCCTGGATTCCCACTTGACATCTTCCGTCCTAGATTCTCAGAGCGAGATAGCAAGAGTAATGTGGACACCAGGACATGATGTCAAATGCCTATGAAAGAAAATTTCGTAACCTTTTCTGACCTGTTTCATCTTGATTGAGCAACAAAATTTCGCCATGTGTACCCTTGGCCCATGCCCGACAGAGGCATTCCCGTCATTGACTGCGCATTTCCCAACTTCTATTATAATCCAACCGCACCGCTTTATCCTGCCTCTCCTGCTACGCGAAGGGGTCCAACCTCTGGTCTTCTTGTCGCCGCGGCACCGTTGTGAGCGAAGCCAAATCCGCCATATGAAGTTTTCCATTCCAACCCCAATAAGATCCATTCAAATGCCCTCCCCTGAAAACCTTCGGAATGATGGATGCCAAGAGAAAGACTGATTGACTGGGAACTTTGTGTGAATCCAAGTGACTAGGTCATGGTGAGCCTCGTGGGTAGCTGTTGCCAACAATTCCCAGACCTTTTCGCTCCGCACATAGTAGAGGCTGACGTTGAGACTGCCGTCAAATCCGCCTGGTTGACGACGAGCGATATCGCTCATACTGTTCCAACGTGGTTGTAAACGTTAGCAATTTATTTAGCTCCTCCAGGAGCAGGATTCCGGTTGCTCGCTGCGGTAGCAAACACTCCCTCTCATCCTTTTCCCGGCAACACTCCTCTTCCAACCACTTAACAAAGGCCCTCCGCTGCTCTTCCTCCTCTCCACCAAACTGGAGGACACGTTCGCCGAGACCGCGAAAGGGGGTGTACAGCGGCAGACGAGGAGCGCCGTTGTTGTGTTGGCGGCCATATATATTTCTTCTGAGGTCGTAGTCCGTGCCAATGGGGTGTTGCCATGGATCGCGTCGTGCGTAAGCTGGTGGTGGTAGTAAAGGGTCGGCTTGGGGTGCGCTAGGTAAAGGTAGGAAGGGTGCGACCTTAGCGACCTCGTTGGCGATGGCCGCGTGCAAACGTTGCTTGCTCTTTGCGGGGCGCTCGTCGGAGTCCATGGCGACCATGGCTATACGACGTATCCCAGCGACGCACTTAGCGTAGTCGTTGGAGGTAATTTTGGATGCAATGACTCTACGACGCATCTCGGTGAAGCGCTCGTCGGAGATTTTTGGGTTCTGAGGGCGAGCAAATGGGGAGCGTGCGGACTCAACTTCGGGCTCGGGGCCAGTGCCATAGGGCCGTCTAGCTGAAGAGACGGCCACTTGCGGCAATGTTACCTCATTGCTGGTGTCTTCGGAGGCCAAGGTAAGCCTTCTGCGTGTCGAAGGGCGGGGATTGGGGCTGGGACTGCACGGGCGTCTTCGACTTTGACGGCCAGTTTGCTCTTGAGAAGGGATAAGTCGGCTCGGGGGTTCCTGTGAAGAATTGGAGACAGGTACGAATGCCCTTCTTGCGGGTAAATTGGGTTGTTCGCCGTTGAAGGCAACTGGGGCTTGACCGGCTGTGTGGACGAAGTCTTCGGGCAACCGAGTCGGAGTGTTCTGGCGACGCATTATTCTTGGAGAAAATGGGGCACGCATGGGCGCGATGCGGCGCGGGTGTGCCTGTTGTGAAGTCCTCGCTGGCGTGCCTGTTGGAGTGTCTGCTGGAGTGTCTGCTGAATCCATGATGTTTTCGGATACCGTATTATCAGATCTCCGACGTGTTTTATTAGTTAGCAGCTGGGAGATGAAAAGAGAAACGTGGACCAGTCGCGTTAAAAAAGCAATTTGTGTTGGCTGTCCGAGTCTAAAGGCTTGACTGTGAGCGGCATGGGGGAATGGAGTTGTGGTCGAGAGAGTAAGTTTGGGACGAAGAGCCGCACCCGCGAGGTTCGGTCGCTTGGCCCTGTATTGAATGGCTTCTGGTTGTTTGTCGTCGTTCCAGTGCTTCTTTTTTTCCGATCAAGCTGGAAGAATATGGTATTGGTCAAGACGAGAGGCAGTTCACAGGTCTAACCGCATTTGGGTGGAAGCACATGCGTGTTTGATTACGGCCAGAGAGGGTGTCGAGGGATCATCAAAAGGGAGAATGAATGAATGATGAATTTTTCGACTGCGTTCTACCACTACTAGACAATAAGTCGTGCCTGCGACGGTGGCGTGGCATAGGTACATAAATACGGCATCAAAAGGGAGAGAATGGAGAGCAGCCGCCCAGGCGAGTTTGAGATGCCCATGAATGTCTGTTATGGCACGCCATCATCCGTGCCGGTCCGGGCGCCTATTGCACTAACAGTTTGTTACAATTTTCACTGTAAGCTCCCCGCTATAGGGCACCTGCAGATGCTCTCACTGAGTCGCATGTCCTCAGGCCACCTCATCAGGCCACCTCCAGGACGCGTACGGAAGGGGTACCTTCTCGCACCTACCCGACCTAATTGAACATGCCCATCATCCTGAAAGAGTTATTGCTGAGCGTGTTAGTCTCTCACAACAGGCGTTCATCTAATTACAGTTTAGCCTCCACTTTTCCCCCCTTCGGATCCGCCCCGTTTTCGAACGCCACTTTTTGGCGCCCCGTGGCTTGGAACCTGGGGAAATGGAACATTAGATTCACAAGGTGGTTGAGTCTTCCCCCGCTCTCTCAACCCAATTCAAAAACGTCTTGAAACTCGTTCTCGGATAAAGCCGTCAGACTCGGCAATCTAACAAGTCGAAAGTATGGGGCTACAACCACAACAGAAAGGGCCTGCTCCCAAAGAAGAAGACGGCCTCGCGAGCTCGATTAACATACCTAGGTAGCCGAGGACATGTGAGCAGGGGAAGTATGCAGGGAACGACCCCTACCTTGGCCGCGGGGAGGAGAGCCAAGAACGAATGAAGGACCAGAAGGCTTTGCTGGGTGACAAAACACAACTATTCACCGCACAATCCTCGGCCATATCCTCTACCGAGTCTTGCGAGTCGATTACCACATAACAAACGTTGTTATATGCTGGGCCAAGGGCTGGCTAATGCAGCAGCGGGGGCGTGGAAAGACAACAGGGGGAGAGGGATTATAGCCGGAGAAGGGTCGTCTTTATAAAAATTGGACGAGATCCTCGATGTGCGGCGGGAGGAGGTAGCTTCAGCAGCTTAGGGTCTCGGTATATCACATTCTCTCTTCTCGTACTTGTCTCCAAAACTCTCCCAACTTGGCTTCCGTGAAACGCCATCGTCCAAAGCGGACTGGAAACCCATCAGCCCAGCTCGTCAACCGCTCTCAGCTGACAGCAAACCCACAGCGATTCAAAACTGTCTGAGGGTTTGTGGAAGGGCCGCAGATAAACACCTTTAAAGAATGGGAACATATCATCGATATATCTCCGCTTCTGGGGGACGTGAGGGCTTGAGTTTCGCCCGTTTTGGATCTTTGCCAAACCAAAGAAGGAGAAGAAATGGACACCGCTGCCGCACACTTTCGCCGCCAAGGACGCCGTTTCCGAGTTCACCACCGAGGCTCCTTCCTTGGACCTTTGTACTTTGTCCATGGACCGAGAAGAATAACATTCGCAACACGAGCATTTTAGATATCCTCATTCCTTCAACCCTTGATCCAAGCGGAATCTCAAGATGCCCGACCTCCGGGATCTTATCGACGGTTATACATGGTGCCCCAGTCACTGACAATCTGACACCACGTCTTTCGAGACTTCTTCTAGGGATTGGCTTCGTCGTCTTTGGTACCATTGGACGCATCGTGATCCTTAGACATTGTCTTGGTCAAACCATTTTTGATCGACCCTAGGAGCCCCTTAGAGGTCAACCCCCCCCCCCCCCCTTCCACCGACGACATGGAACTTCGGTCCACCAAGCTGGCATTTTTCGCAATCACCTCACATCCAGGCTGATCCAGCTTGAATAGAGACCTCTGAAAGCCACCATGCTTGCCAACGATTTTGACACCGGCAAAGCTATCACGTAACCAGCTTGTGATGGCGGAGGAGTATATCTACCTAAGGTATTAGAAGAGTCAGCAGAACAAAGGCACCAAGCCTGTTCTAGGGGAATGCGCGAAACCTACCACAGCATAAAGATGGAGTAGCAACCGTCAACATTCCGCAACAAAACTTACACCATCAGCAGGAAAAGAGAGGTCCCAAATCCCAGAAACCTACTTCGGCGTGAGGCATTGCCGCTGATACGGGATTCCAGCAGCAGATACTTCTCCGATGTCTCGGCAATGGTAGACCACGTGGCCGAGCTATCGTAGGACCCCACCGAGACCTGGGAAGACACCAGGGCCCGTGTACAATCGTAAGATATCCTTCCATTACTTGATCAAACGAAGGAATATGGCATCTTGATCATAGGTAGGAGCGACTAGACTAAAGGTACTAGTTAGTACTTCCTTCGTTACCGGGCATCGTCTCAACTTTACAAACTAGTGTAAATAGTATTACTTCAGTCGATTTCTCTAATCTCAATTGACAGGGTGGTTTCCGTGTTTGACGTCACCCATTCCGACGACTATTCTCCTCTAAATTCGCACGCATAAAAGGAGAAAAGAGGTGGGAGCTGGGATGGTTGTAATTTTCATCCTTTGACGTTGTCTCTCACCTGCTTTCTACCTGCACTCAGGCTTCCTCCACCAACGGTGTACGTCTATTTACACTCGAGCGTTCTCAGCTGACGATAGTTTCCAGGAGCCAGTCGGACTTCCAAGTAGCTCAGGCTACCTTCCCTCCATGAGTTTGTTCTCACGCGAGCCCTCCTACCTGGAAGCCGCGTCTCAGATCACCACGTACTCCCAACTGCTAGCAACTTACCGAACCACGTCTTCTGCCTTGGATCAGCACCGTTGATCTCGGTGGCGACAAACACACGAACCTTGGCCAGATGGGTTTCGCACAAGAATCTTTCTTGTGAGTGACGGTATAACCGTCTTGGATAGCTGGACTGGTCAAGCGAGGAATAAGGTGCAGGTGGTCTTGACGCTGATCATAGGCCGCGATTTCGGACTGGGGCGAATATCAATCGATTCAAGTTGCCGGCCTAGATGCTAATGCGGTATACAACAACGGTGACTGATTGGTCTTTTTCCAGTGTCAGTATAGATGGCTCACAGCCAGATAGGTTCCTTAGGTGCCCTGGTGTTATTTGCCGAGCTGAACTCATCGAGTGTTTCTGAAATGGGTGCTGGTTTGGAGCCTTGGACGCTGGCTTGCGTTCAAGGCAGTGGTGACCGAGCGTGTGTTGACATCAGAAGTGGGGGGGATTCTTGGCAGGTGTTGAAAGCTGGAGAAATGCTGTGCTTGAGAGTAACGCTTAGAAAGACGGCACCGGGAGCCACGGCTCGGGTCCCGGGTTTAATCCGGGGGATTAATCGGGTGTGCCTGTCTCTGGTGGACAAACAAAACCAGTCCCAGTCCCAACCTGCGGACCTCTTTTTCTAAATCCCTTGAACAATGTCAGGTCTGTCCGGTCGTTTAAGGCACAACTGTGCCAGGCTCAGGTCGGTAGCTCTCTCTGCGCCGTCTGTAACGTCATGAGTAAGGTGGTCCAACTTGATGTTAACCAGAGCGGCAGCGTTGATGACGGCCGCGACTGCCGGCGTGGACGAACGAGTGTACTGTTCATCACCCTAGTTGTCTGAGGGTTGCCATTGTTGGCGGCTGGGCGAGAATGTTTCACGTCGAAGTGGGTTTCTGAGATACGGAACCTCCAGTCTGTTTGCCCGCTGACGGTATAGGTCTTCTTGATGAAGGCGACCAGAGGGTTCCAAAGCCGTGCTCATCGACATTGAATGCTACGTGGGTCTTGGTATTTTGACCGGCCTTCAAATCGAGATTCTTGGTTCGGAAACTGGAGATAGTGGTCGTGACGAGCGTTTCCTGATCGCTACGTTGGTTATATCCGTGTATCTTGAGGATGTCAAAGTTGTCACAGTGTGTTCAGAATGACGGATTGCTGTCATGAAAAGCTTGAAAAGAAGAGAGGTGATGGCTTTCTGCTGTACTGGTCTAGGCGATGCCTTGAAGTTGCCCTCGTTTCACATCGAACTATCCTCATTTGGTCCTATCCTTATTTCTCCTCCTCATCCTGCTTATGCTCCTTCTCCTGCTGCTGCTGCTGCTGCTGCTGCTGCTGCCACTTCGGGTGTCCCATCTTGTGGTCCCGCGCCAGCTGAACACGGGAGCACTCGTTGCAGGGGGTGTCCTGCATGTGGGTGGCCTGTCTTGGCTCACCGTGCGGGCAGTCCCTGGTGTTGGGCTGCCGGTCGGCGCACCGCACGAAGAGCCCATCGGAATGGGTGCAACCGCTGAATGTGATGTGGTAGACGATGCACATTTTGTTGTGCGATTGGCTGAGTGAAGCCTGATGTTAGTACTTAAGAAAGTGCGGACTACAGTAGGGAGGGGAAAGGAGGGGTGACTTACTTCCAGGCGGCGCCTACTTGGCGAGGTTTGTGAGGGAAGGCAAAGGCACACCGAAAGGTGGAAAGCCTGTTGAGGTGTGTCACGGTGTTAGTCATGGTGAGAAAGCGCCAGGAGGTGACTCCATGGTCGGCAAGCAGTTTGGCGTTGGTTGTTGTTGACCGTTTCCGTTGGCCTCAACTCCCAACGTCAAGGCGACGAGGGTCGTCGATGAACCACACTGCCCAAGGGGGAAGGAAGCTGACTTATGGCGGGGACTTTTCCTCGTGAGGAACGATGATGGACAGACTCTTGGAGTCTCTGGAGGTGGATTCGGGTAACAACTGCTCTCTGGGAGCGTGAATTAATCCGCGCGGTGTGTTCAGGTGTTGAGGTGTTGAGGAAAGAATTTGGCGAGCTGAGAATTTGGGTTCGCAGCAGGTTTTTTGTGCGAAAACGGGAAGACGAATGTGGACGGAGGAAGAAATGGAAGGCAGTGATGCTCCTGCTCGTGGTCGTGGGCGTTTGTGCTGTGGGTCTGGTCCGTTCTTGCCAGCTGGGAGTCTGGGTAAAGGGCTGGCAAGAACTCTTCTCCCTCGGGATGGCAAGAGGGTCTTTCGGTCCCGAAATTGTAAGGAAGCTTCATCCGAACCGTGCCAGATGCTGGAAGAGCTTTAAAGTGAAGTGTTTATCTCGTCAGGTACCTCCCAGGAGGCGGGGCAATACAGTTTCGTTGAGCAGTTTAGCCCAACGGTGGCGTACCCACGCAGATCCAGGTGAAGGGGACTCCTTCGGTCCTTCCCAAGGTGGTAGGGCTACAGGGAAGTCACATCTTCTGGTATATTCAGGTCTATCAACGGCCTAGGTACCTCTACCGCTGTTTCGCCTGGCGGTTTTCTGGTACACATCTCGAATGGTGTTCGAATTGTGGCGAGGGCTTCAGGGCGCGAGACTCCCTCTTCATCTGTTATGTCGGCGTGTACCACGGCCAGACGCTGCCCTACCATTATTTGTCTGCGCTCAAAATTCATTCTGGCCTTGTCATTTAGTTTCTTGCATTTCAACCCAGTGGACAGGCATTCAGTAGCGGTTGCCGGCCCCCTAAAGTACTACAAGATGACGCCCAGCGCTTGGCCGTCATGAGGCAGAGTCACCACCAAATAAATGTTTGTCCGGTCCAATTTCCTATTAGAGTGTACGTGAGTCAAAAGCAAACCGGTCACAGTGTTGTCATTGGAAAATTGTCCATCGGGTTTGACTTGACTGGATTCTCTTTCCACTGTTGTGTCATGGTCATGGCTGACTCAGCGGAGGAACAGATTTCTAGCACTTTACTCGATTTTTCGCCTATACGTTCCATCCAACAACCACACCCATCGTCCTCTTTGAACAATTCCCCTTCCATCAAGCCATTCCCTCGCCGCCCGATCCCCTTGTCAGCCACCTCAGAGCCGACTCGTTCCCAACACCCCTACTGTCACACCACCGCGTCGCTTTGTTGTCCGCTGTGCCTGTCACCCTTCGTCAGCACGAGAACAAAGCTCAAAGAATAAAGCCGGCCTATTGCGGCTACAGTTGGGGGGTAGTTTGCTCACAATGGGATTATATGAGGATAAACAAGCTTGTTCAGCCGCGACAGAGGACTTCAACTCGGACTGCCTTCAAGCGCGCCTCGACAGACACACTCGACCATTGCTTTCGGAGGATCAATGGGCGTATTTCGGTGGCCGCTTCTGCAGTCTGTTTCGTGGCTTTCGATACCGCGGCGGCTGGTCGGCGGGATGCTGATCATCTTGATGCTGGTCCGAAGCTGAAACATCGATCGTCTTCTCTCCCTCGACGGGCAAAGGGGTGTAGGTTGGAACCGGATCAGCGTCGGCGACGGCCTCGGCGACATCGACGGCCTGCCCTTGAATATGTGTTGCGGGGTTCTCGCCCAGAAAGTTCATCAAGCCGACCAGCTCGTTCAGTTGGTCGACTAACTGTTCGCCGTCGATGTCGATCGCGTCGGGATTCTCGTGACTCAAGGCGGGAGGGAGTGCATTGGTAGGGTCAGAACGGTGGAGGGGTGGCCTTTGCTGTATGGATGACATTTTGTACGCTTTTGTCGATGGCGGTGTTCGTGATGGGTTTGGTTTGACAACTTTTGTCGAGATCGGTGGACGTGGAGATCCGCTGTGGTGGATGAAGGAAGAGAAGGGGAACAGGTTATTCGAGACCACCATGTTCGGTTGTTCTTAAAGCTCCTTTCCACAGTCGCTTGAGTGTTGCGTGAAGGAACTCGATCCAGGTTGGCGGTCAGCTCAGGTTTGCCAGAGGTACCTATAGACACTTCAAGGTTTCGGATGAACGCAACACCAGAACACCTTCCTATGCGGCATTCCTCAAAGCATGGCTTCCCATAATGGTGGTCTAGCAAGTACTGGATCAAAAAGTTCATCATTGATGCATCCATTACTGAGTGTCTGGGTAGCACGTCATTTGCGACCAACTCCATACACGCATGACACACGATGGCATTATGGAAACAAAAGCTAGAATTGACAGTTCAAGGATCTAGTAACTACCGGGCACCCTCTATACACCTCCACGAGCCCTTTGACTTGAAGCCCACCATTCCCATCCCAAGTTCGATGCCTTCCCTCCTCGTTCCACTTGAATTCTTCCTGGAAGGTATCAATAGCACAGCTTGAACCAGACCATAACCAAATTTGTCCACGGAGGTCGATTTGGACGAGCTGCCCTTGCCGCACACTACGCGCATTGCAGCACGAAGAACATTCTTGCCACTTTGGTCAAGGCAGGGCATCGGCCTTCTCCATCCCTCTTCCCTTCCTGTAGCGCCATGCTTTAATGACCATTGCGCCATGTCCAATGATTGTTGTACCAGCTCGGCGATCTCAGACACGTATCTTGCAACGCTCAGTCTTGCCTGCTTCCAGCGTTACTTATCCCAGGTCTTCTCGAACTCCTTCGGACATATTCCTCTGCATCGTGCTTGCGGCATTGGCGTTTCTTCGTCACTCTTCTCTTCTAGGGGGCCGGGGGCGGCATCGCTGCCTTGAGTTGCCCGTCGAGTTGACGACCATCGCGCAAAAGAGCTTGTATTCGGCATCCGTGCAGCTAACTGTGCCGACTGTGCGCTTGTTGGATAGTGGAAGCTTGTCCTCGAGGACGTTGAAATCATCTGGAGAGATCTTTGAGAGAGCCAACACGGCATCTGCGATCACGCGCATAGCTCTGGCTGGCCTCGTCGTTGGTCTGGGTCAGGTAGCGGGCTGAGTACGGCCTGAAATCGACAGTATGTCTGGTTGCAAGGGTAGATAGGGCGCGGCGTCGTGATGCCCCGGCCTCTTCGAGCGCCGGCGCGAGATTCCCGTCGTTATGACCTTGACTTCTGCGCAGGAGCAACAGAGATGCTCGAACATGGACAAACTTTTGGTGGCAATCTGGACTTGAAGTTAGCGGCTGTTGGCAGCAAACGAAGAAGCGCTGGTCGCACTTGGGTTGTGGACTTACCATGTCTTGGTTTTGGTTCGCGTGTGCCATTCCATGTCCACGGCCCAAGAGGTCTCAGACAGGAGTTCCGCTGAGGACGCCGAGCAGCATGAGCCCTATTGGCGGTAGTGAAGACACCCCAGCTTTGACTAGGTACTCATACACGCCACCGGTCAATGTCATACCTCTACGGATCTGAAAGCTCCAATAAAGGCGCAAGAGGTTGACTCCAGTGTCGTCTATAGCTCACTCGCCGTTCTCCTAGCGACACTGCCTCTTCCGCTCTCGCTCCTGATCATCTCCCACGCCGTCCTCGTCCTGTTGCTCCCTCTTTCTCTTGTGGCCCCGCGGCGGCTGAAACGACTGCTGCGAGTCCTCCGTGTAACTTGGAGGTGGCGGCCTATACTCCGGCACCGCAACTTCCAACTCAACCGTTACATCTCCCTCAGTCGGTAACCCCGAGTAGCTCGGCGCCGGGTTGCGAACCCCAAAATCCTCTGGATGATGACTCTGAGTAATCGCGTCCATGACATGTTCCATGATTGTTCGGAACGCGTCGGCGTTGCCGTTGGCGGCCTCTCTCATGATCCGGACCATGTTCGCCATAGACTCCATCGGGGTGTCTGGGAAGTTCTGTGCTAGGAGTCCCAGGATTTGGTCGGTGATGGCCTCGAGCCTGGCTTCGTCGAGTCCGGCTGGAAGGGGAGGCTCGGCGTCGCGCTCCTCGGAGTGGTGGGGGTTCCAAACTTCCGTCTTTGGGGAATTTGAGCGCAAATGGAGGGAGTTGTGGTTACTCATGTTGGCTTGTGGTTTCGTGAGGTGGAAGAATGTTGCTGTTACTGTACCAGGTGTGTGGTGCAATGGGATGTGCGTTGGATATGGCGGAGGGTGGGAGTGTTGTGAATTTTAGGTTCTTTGCGACATCGAATGAGAGGGGAAGAGTGGGAAGTGGTAATTGGCACGTGCTTCCTTCCAGGGCCATTACCAAATGGCGTATATTTGGGTACGGCTCTTGTAAAGCGCTTGAAAGTATATAGTTCTGGAGTCTTATCCGGCCTACTCGGTTCAGATTTACCCATCCTACGGCAACTTACTTCGAAGCCTAACGGGGACGTTTTAGCTATAGAAGTATGGAGAAACGGGTCGACCAGCGCGTGAGCTTTGAAGCACAGACCCTCCAGGACTGCCCCGGTGACGGGAAATATGTATTGTCTACCTAGATACGACCTGACAATGCCGAGGAAGGAAAAGATCAAGTAGGGGTGCGAGTAAGTGCAGATAGTGAGAGATATAGTATGAAGTATGTACATACAACTGGCATGAAATATCAATTCATGCGGTCATGGAGAGTGGGCGTAGGCAACAATTCAACAATTCTTAATGTCACAACGGCTATAGAAGCAATTACAGATAGAGCCCGCCTTGGGGCACGAAAAAGTTTCCCTTCTAGGGTGCTAAGACGTCATTGATACCTCTACAAGTAGAACAGAGTGTCTGGGTGATAAAGTGCCACTAAAAGCTCGTTCCTCGCTAGATGTACTAATAAACACAAAGCAACCCGTCCCATGTTGGTAAAACTTCCGATCAGTTTGTTCCTCCACTGCAGACCCGCGACCCTTTGATTTGTAATTCCCTTCATTGTGCCCGAGACTACATGCAGAGTCTATGAGGGCGGCCGGATTCTTGAGATCGTAGACACCGTTCGCGGTGCAGCTGTCCTTTCTCAACTTGACAATTGGATTTCTAGCCTCCACCAGGACCATGCTGCCTACGTGGGTCAGTTCAAAGTCAGCTCGAATTTTCTTGATAATAGCGTCACCCATTTCATTCGCGACCTACCTCTCGTTGCCATGGATTTGGAGGTACCCAGGGGCAGTTATCCTCCTCCTTATCATCTTGTTTAACCCTCACTCATTGTCATCCTCCTCGCGCTTCCTCTTCTTATCTCGTGCGTACCGCGTGTACTCGGGCTCAGGCACCGATAGCTCGATTATGATCTCTCTCCCGGTCGGCAAAGCCGTGTATGTCGGGGAAGGATTGATCTGATTCATAGTGTCTTCTAGGCGGGCGATATACTGGGCCATGGAAGGGCTTTCGGCGGCGGCAGCTCGCCTCAGCAGCTGTATAAAGCGGACATAGTCCCAAGCGCCTCGCATATTTGCTTGCTCGACGGCCATCTCGGGTGCGCGGAGTGTGGCATTTTGACGGTGCAGACGAGCCGGCTGGCTCTGGTGCGGTTGAGAGCGGCGGGGCTTGTTAGATACGGGGGTCATTGTGTGTTCGAAGCGAATGCCTGTTGTAGAGGTGGAGGTTGAGTTGATAACTTCGAGTTGTGTTCTGGTAAAGTGAACTACGAAGTTATTGCTGCTTGGCTACGGTAATGACGTCGGTTGGTTGACTCTCGCTCGTTGGGTCGCGTGCGATTTCGATGTTGGAAGGTAGTGAGAGATTGTGCTTTGGTGTCGGCAGATTGATATTTATGGACAGGACGGGCCTACTTTCGCCGAATTGCAATTTCTGCTAGTGTCGCCAGGTTTGCAGGTTTGGACGCCGAAAAGTCCTGATCTCCGTTCTTGGACATCGAACAGGTGGGTCAAGGTTGGACCTTCAACAGCCATATCGTTCACTTGTTGGATGGAGTTGCTATGACAACGGGCCTCAACAACCGATGGGTCAGGAAATATGAACGCTGAACCAGACGGGATTGCGCAGTGAAGTAAATTACGAACATTATTGTATGGAGATATACAACAGAAGGAGGTAAACATGCAGACTACGAGGAGACGACAATACCTCATCAAATAGCTTGTGCGATGGTTTGAGATACCCTCTACCAAAGATGGTACAGCTTATTCTTGGCCAGATAAAGTAGTTTCATAATGTGAAGTTGAACTTAATGGACGGAAAGCTTATGAACAAAGGTAACAGACTCCCCAACCCCATGCCTTGAGTTCCCTATCCCCGTCCTTGCGCCACTGCCGCCTTTACAAGCTTACACCATGCCCGTGCATTTAATGCTTTGCGACCATCCACGTTGGTCTAAAGCTGTCGAGTGAAGTCAGCAATTGGACTGTTAGTGCACAGGGGAGACGATGGGTATACTTTACAAGACTTTGATTGGGCTGAAATGCTCAAAGTGATTTCATTCCGAACGGCGAGCAGCTAGATAAAAGTTAGTGAAATCCTTGGTTGCAATAGTTGGTTACCGTACCTTCTTCCTTATCGCCCTCGCTATTTCCTTGCTCGTTGCTTGCCTCGGCATAAGTAGGGAGCTCCTCGGAGGGGGTTATCTCCATCGTCGTCTCGCCTGATGTGGGGTTTTGGGTGTAAGAGGGAAGTTGTGGCTCGCGCTCGATGCGTCGGCCGTTTACGATCTGCCCGGCAGGAGCGGCCCGAGACACGCGATGGCCGGTGTGTGTTTGGTTGAATGTGGTAAGCAATCGCTCAACGCCACCCGACAATTTGGCGTTGTCGACTGCCTCGTAAACCACCTCGGCGTTTTCGCGGCGCAAGGTGGGTGGCTGGGCGTTGGGTCTTGCGCGAGAACGGCGAGAGCTAGAGCTCGGGCGAGTGAAAGGCATGTTGGTTGCGGTTTTGGTGGTGGGAGACTTGAGAATAATGGTTTTTCGTCGATGGAGGGCGGTTGCAGAATTGAGCTTCGTGATGCTTGCGAGAAATGAGAAAATCGCAGTCGGTCCCAACTTTTGGACGGTTTTAAGGACATCTTCGACGTTCAAGGTTCTGTTCAGATTTAACCGTCACCAGGTTAGAACACCAGCACCTTCACTGAACAGACTTTCCATTTTGATTCAAGTTAGATTGCTCAAGTTCTCGGCATCGCCGTGAGTTGTGAGGTCGTGGTATGCAACGCAAGTGATCCAAAACAGAGCCCTTGTTCTGCGGATATGCCATGTACGGGCAAAAAGCTGTATTATATGAAAGTACCACCCATTCGGGCTTCCTCCTGGATTAAATCACTGACTCTATACGATATAAAGTAGACATTAGGCATTGGTGCGGAGAATATCATCGAGTGTCTTGGGTGAGTAGGTTTTCGTGCAGATTCCAGCCGGGGTAGCTGCAGGTTATCTTTTCCCACAAAACGGTCAACTTGTTTCGCGGACGGGATCTACACTTGATAGTGACAATAAGTGCACCTAGACGAGGCTCAGATTACAAAAAACTATAAGATAGGTTACGATTAGAAACTGTAAAACTCATATTCGCCAGTATGTAGTGCTTGGTCCAACCGAGCAATTATCACGGGCAGGCACGTTTCCTCCACGCCCTCTAATAATACCAAATCGCGTTATTGTAGTCCTTAATCATCTCTACTCGTGTTTCCTGCCTTGAGCTATCCCGATTGATTCAAGTTGAAGCTTCTAGGCAACAGTCAGTACATGACTCCAACCTCAAAATGTCATACTGAAGAAAATCCACGAAAACTCGGTAGAGGCAGATGTACCTCCATTCTCCGCTCCCCTGTTCTCGCTTTCTTCCACCCTTTCCTCCTGTCTCGCCTCCGAGTACTCAGGCAGATGCTCCTCGGGCAACACAGCGATATCAACAGTCACCTCTCCAGCGCTAGGAAGGTTGGTGTAGGTAGGAGTGGGATCTGCGTCCTCAGGATTCCTACGCTGCACAGCCGCTGCAGCTCTCACGGGATACGGTGAGCGCCGGGTTAAACGGGGTACCTCTGACAAGCGATGCGAGGTTAGTACGGCTTGTTCGGCCCCTACAAAATGGACAGGAATTAACTTGACGTACCACGACGGGGAGGCGGGACTTGTCCTCTACCACCAAAGAAACTGTTCAAAATGTCCATGACCTGGTCGGTGTAGATGCTGAAATTGACGGCTTGTTCGTTCTGATCGTAGACCGTCTCGTGGATAACTGCGTCTTGACGACGGAGCGAAGGGGGCGGCCTGTTGGCGGCCTGTCTTGTGCTACGAGGGTTAGTTCTTGCGGCGGACATTTTTTTTCTTTGTGGGAGTCTTTTCTCGCTTGGTGGTGGGGTCCAATGTGTTTTGGTTGTGCGGAGATTTGAAGGTGAAGTTGTCTTGGAAAAGGAATAAATTCGGAATCAGTTATTGACGGTTTTATGGTTAAGGCATGCGCGAGAACGAGTTCAAGGTTCTGAATCCACCTGGTCTCCACGGTCCGTAGGTTGAACATTACTGTGCCACTTCACCGGTCCCATGAAACGTTTTTTTGTCATTCACTGTCGGGATGGATGTAAAGTCAGGTGTCTAGTATCACAGCAACGACGGTGTGTCTCACAACAGACAGAAGCATAATACCAGGATTTAAAGGAGGCACGTATAGAGAAACAGTAGCTTAATAAACGAAATGCCGTGGACAAGTATGAGGAAACGCCTGCTTGGCTCGTAACAAGATTCTCGCAGTCTAGACCCTTTACTACTCCTATAATTCCCACGATCTCCTTCCTTATGTGTCACATGAGACAGAGATAACTCCTGGTTGTTCGTACACTAATTCACGATCGAAGTGTCATCGTTCATCGTGTCTTTATTGTTTGGTCAGCGGCTGATACACCATGGCACCCAAAAAGAGTCGGATCTAGAGTTACTTACAGGACAGGCTGAGCCTCTTGAACATGTCGGAGATGTCAATAAGCTGGAGCTTACTGAGCAAGCCTGAGATATCGCCTTGCTTAGCCTAATGAACAATGCCGTAAGTATGGGCGACAAGTCCGTTTGTGTCGGGAAAGCGCTAAATGTACCTGTGCCTTCTCCCCCATGAGCCTTCTCTTCACACACCTCCAATCTCCCGGGTCTGCCACCTTTTCGAGCTTTCTCTTTGTTCCCCTAGGGTAAGCAGCACCGTAGCTCGGAAGCCGCTCAGAAAGGGTGAACGGGGAGATCTCCGTCGTTTCACCAGCGGATGGAAGCTTGGTGTAGACGGGCAGGGGATCGAATGTTTCCGCATCGAAGTTCAAAGTTTCGAGCCCTTGAGCGATTCGAGCGCGACGTATGCCAAGGTGAATAGCTGGTGAACGACATCAAGTTAGCTACCTTACGGCACCTAGTCATGACTCGTGGAGTATAGGAGGGGGGATGGGCGTACATACCATGGCGCATACGGCGACAAATGATTGTAAGCTCGGGGGCTGAAAGTCGTCTGGATCTTGCTCCAATGAGCCGATACAACTCAGGCGCGTAAGGATGTCTATAACATTCGGCGCCTAAGTTGCTGTAGACGTCTCGGGGAAGAATCGCCATTTCATAGCACGGGGGAGCTTTAGGGTTATGGCGCGGAATTGGGATCCTTAATTGAACAGCACCTTGATCCTCGAATCGGAGAACAAGATAATCGCTTTGCATGTTGATGGGCATGATGTCGAGGTGCTTATGCAAATGCTGTGTGGGAGATCGTGTCAAATGTTCGCGCACGAATGCGGGTTGGTTATGCAAAAAAAAGTAAGAAGAGGTCGAGACGACTCCCACGCTGTCGACAACTTTAAGTAGCCTTATGCCAAGGACTTTCAAGGTTCGCTGGGTGTCCCAAGGTTCTATGTTCGCTTCCCCTCTGGTCGCTAAATCTGAACACTTGAACACTGAACAGCCCTGCCATTTCAAGGTTCGGGCTGAGTGGCTCCCGCCTTAGGTTCCAGCTTGAAAACTGACGAGGGGCATTTGGAGGAGATGGAGATCGATGTTTGGTACCTCCTGTGGGTGTTAAATGAGGTGCTTGGCTCATCCAAGGAATATGTCGAGTGAGGTGAGAAGGGGACGCAGCTCGATATCTGGCGTTGTAGTTGGTGTAAGGGGGTGGTGAAGGCTCCCGTCCTAGGTTCAGTCAAAGCTTGAAAGATCTCGAAAGAGACTAGGAAGAGATGAACCATCGTTTACTCCATTCACAGAGCTAGATAGGACTCCAACCGGAACTGGAACAGTCCCCTTTTCACCCATGACAGGAATAGCAAGTCCGACCACAACAATGAGGAAGATTACCTCTATTAAGAGCTCCCGGGATTCGGATTCGGATAGCGGCTCTATGTCTTCTGGCACTGACAACGTGATTTATGAGGCGGCATTGATAGAGAAGGGGGAGGGGGGTGCTTGATCGATAGTTTGGTTCAGTTGGTGAAGAAAGGGGAGAGATGAAAAAGGATTTTGATGAGAACCTAACAGAACCAGGGTGGCGGAAACATCATGCGGTGGGACACGAATTCAGTTGAAGATGCAGAACCCATGGACTTGCATTTGGGTTGGTCATGACGTGCACAGATCCCGGGTTTTGCTCTTGAATGCATTGATGATTGCTTTTGGCCATGAAAATATCTGCGGCAAGCGTCTCTGGGTATAACCTTCCGAATTACTAACTCCCCGCTAACCAGCGCCTAACTCCGTAAACTTGCCAGATGTGCCAATCGAAAGGCGAGCCTTTTTTTTGTAAACCCCTGCCTGCTACCGTACCATGCCTTCCTTTTTATGAACCATATCCCCGACCATTTTTGTTCTATTCCTTCTCCCCGCCACTAATGCACCGAAAGGCATGTAACCCCGACGCCGAAGACTTACACAAAGGCACAACTGAAAGAAATAAACGCCGACGACCAACCAAAGTCCCTTCAACCCTGACCCTTTTCTCACCCACACCGTGCCAATGTCGCTTCACCAAAGACACTCATCCTCCACCTCATATCCACGCCATCGAGTCCGTACCTAAGACGAACGATCAGAGGACGATTGGTTGCCACTGCTGCCCCCTGACTGACGACTGCTAGAGCCTTGGTCCAACAGACGCAGCCCCCTGCGATGAGGATCGCGGATTGTGGCGTCGGAAGGACGCGGGAGAGGAGGGAGACGAAGCGCGGGAGGAATGGTCTGGACTCGCCCGCTGCCCTGGACGTGCACAGCTGGACCACGGTTCTGGTCCACGACAAGCTCTACGAAGCCGGAACGACCGGCGACAAGATGTCGATCATCTTGTGTTCTTCGAGCTTGGGATGGGCCAGCCTGGATTTGCTGTCGATGGCGCGGCTGGACAGCCGGAGCCGGGGCGGGAGGCGGGGCGGCAGGTGAAGACCAGGCGGCGCGGGGAGGAGTGCTGGCCGCCTCGATTTCCGGCGTAGACCATTCAACATCCGGAGTGCCGTAGTTCGGCAGGCGGATCTCTTCCTCTTCGGCCGGGGTAGCCAACTCGCTATTGTCGAATCGGGTACGGCTGTACCGTGACAACGGGGCACTAGCGGCGTCGTCGATGTCTTCCATTTCTAGGTTCTCTGTGGACGGAATAGGGGCATCGCGGCGGGTAGGGGATGCAGGGCGGCGCTGGACGGGGCGACGCTGACTAGGAGCCTCAACTTCGAGGCTCGGGCGAGTGAGATCAATTGGGCGCTGCTGAGTGCCCATTGAAGCCACGGAGGAGGAGCCGGAGAAGGCGCGCCGCTGGGTGTTCTCACGGCGGAAAAGAGGGGGAGGGGCGCCGGACCTTGCGCGGCGTGAGTCAGTAGAGGCCTGTACCTGACGAGCCACTGCTTGCGCTGCCGACTGGCCTTCAGCCTGGCGACGTAGGGCCTCACTAGAGGAGGACTTGTAAAGAGGAAGTCCCATGTTAATTCTTCGTGGTTTATCAAGGTATATAGAGGTTCGACGAGGCGTGTGCGAAGTTCTGGCCAAAAGCTTTTGGACTTGCTTCTGCTGATCCTCCTGTTTTGGGTGATGGATTGGGGAAGAGAAGAATTTCGATCAAGCTGGAGGGAATATAAATACTTCAGTGGGTGAGTGGTGACCCACATGGACGAGTTGCCAATTTCAAGTGAATGGGACGTGGACGTCACTAGAATCCCATCCAGACGACATGGACAATAGGGAAGGAAGAGACGAAACGCTGCCAGCTGCCACCATATTCACAAGGCTTTCTCGTCTGAAGTCAAACGACTGTACCAACGGCCATTGCTCTCCTGGAGCTGTCAAGCTCCCAGTTAGGGGTGACCCAAGCCAAACTTCGTGGTCCCCTGCAGCTTGGTTTGATATCGTTCCATTCACTGCCGTCACAAACGTCTGCCATCATCTCATCTGAGTTCCAGCCACGTTCCTTCACGCCCAGACTCTTGCCATCTTGCTCCAGGAAGTTATCCTCAATGTCGGTGGGAGCGTCTGAGTCCGGTATCTCAGCATCCAGCGGGAATGGTAGAACGTTGACCTCGTTTTCGGTGGAAGTATCTGAGCCAGGTAGCTCGGCCTCCGGAGGAAGCTGCTACGGTTGTCAATATCCCGCGCAATCCGATTGATGACAACAGCATTCCACCCAAAGCTTGGTTTATCTATCCTGCTGCCACACCAGTGACCTACCGGTGTTTTCCAAACGGGGATTTCGTGACAGATGAAATCAGTCTTCCTCACGTCTTCCCCACGTGGGGATCGGCCTGTGGATAGCACAGCAACGCAAAACTCAAGAAGAAGGAGATTTCGTCTTGCTGTGACACAAAAGTGTTCCATGGAATCCTGTGAAAGCCATCCATCCTTTCTCTTCCCGGGATTCCATGTCCCAGTGCCCCTGGCAATTTCAATACCGTATACCTACCGGATCTTTGCTCATTGACAATCCACGGCTCCTGCCTTCTGTGGCCGAACCAGTTGTGTCAGACGGAATTCCAGACATCAAATACCTTATCCATCTGCGCTCTTGCTTGACAAGCGTTCCACCTTTATTGGCAGAGCCTTCCCATGTGAGAACAGATTGCTTAAACCTGTGTCGCTTGTAATTCATTGCTTGCAGACATGCGGTCCCATTCTGTGTTGTTGGGGATGTTTGCTTTAGGTATTTGGGTGGAAACCAAGAGGCATAATTGTCCAGGATAATGATGACTTCATCACAGAATGTCCAGTTTCGTTCAAGGAACTTTCATTCCATTTAATAACCTCCGCCCCGGTATAATACTGGGGAAAAACCCCGGGTGTAGAGGTTTGGGCCGCGTGTGTAGAGGTTTGGGCCGCGTGGTGGTTCAGACAGTCCGTTTTGACTAGCTGCTGAGCGTTAGTTAACGGGTATCCTCGCTACTTGTGAACCTGGGTAATGAGGCGCTAAGCGATTGCACTGGAAAGTCATTTGACAAAGTCAGACAGGGAGAACGATGGGAAAAAGATAAATCAACGGAAGCAAACGTATCGCTGGAACTGGAGGTGCTCCGAACGTTGCTCGGGGTTCGACAGCCGCCTCTTCACTTCTGCGTTCTTCGTAAACTTGTGTGGGATCTGAGAGCGTAGAAAGGGGGTAGCTGGGGGGATCCTCCATCGTGTCGCGGTTGAAGCCAATTGTGGCTTCTCCGACGGTAGGGAGAAGGGTGTAGGGTGGCACCTCTGTTGGATTGCTGCCTTCCTGGTTCTCAGCAGATCTTGGCGGGAAGAGCAGCGGTAAAAGATCTGCTGCCGTGACTCGGGTTGTGTTGATGCGATCTGGACGGCGTGGATCTGCCATGTTGCAGGATGTGTTCCTGGAGTAGCGTTGCGAGATTGATGGCTGATTCTGTACCAGTTTGGTTGAGGGATGAGGGGAGGACCGAAAAGTAGGTAAGGCAGTAGATCTGTTGCTTTATACGTAATTTTGTCAGTCATACTTCAATGATTAATTGCCAGGAGCGTTAGATGTTACCTGTGGTGACTCCTTCGTCGTACCACTCACATTAGTCCTGCTTCTCTGACCATAGCCATGAGTAACAAGACCTTGTCAAGTTAACCTGTCACTCATTGTTGGTGTCACACGTTACTCTTCCTATCCTAGGAGACTGTTAGAGTCCACAAGATCCAACCAGACTCATCAACAGCGGAGATCTTGGTCACGTAGTCGCCTTTTTCTTCACAGGTCGTCGTCTAGAACTCAGAGGAAGGATTTTGGGTTTCATCCTGGTTGACAGATGATTTCGAAGGTGGTTCAAACACTCCCGAGCGCCCAACTTCCACTTATGGGCTTGTCGCAGAAAACTCCATCACCGGGTGGGAACATGGTTCGAGCGGGATCTATCGAGGTGCGTGTCGTCGTCGAGTCTTGATTAAGGTATCGCAACGTTCTCGGCTTTTGTATGGTGCGGTAGCACGAGCGAATAATGACCGGAGGTCAGATCCATGGCCTTTATATCCGTTCTCTGGTCAGCATGATTCTGTGACCATCATACCCGCGCCAAAGATGCTTACCACTTCGACCCAGGTCTAACGTTATAGACAGTTGAAACAGGAGTAACACCAGGTCAAAGCCAGCGCTATTTTGACCACAGAAAGCCTTTCGTGGGCGACTTCGACGAGGTTGGCGTGTATAACGGACTTGACTTGGAGATATGAGAACGGGCTTTGAGCGAGTAGACGAGGAAGTGGTATAAGAACAGAGAGCCGGTCGGGGTCATGCTGCGTCGCCGAAGTATTCGAGCATTTCGGCGACAGTATAGCGAGTATAGATCACACACTGTCGGCATCGGCTCGAAGTGGGCTTCCCAGTTCCAAGTGGCCATCAGATATTCTTCCTCAACAGACTCGACTTGATGTTCAGCCTTCTTGTCTCGCTGACGGCGGTGTAATACTGGAGTTGTCGAGCTCTATGATATCAAGTATCGTGTCGGTTCCCGCGGCAGTCCACTGGCGGGCCCTTAACCATGCCGCTTGGAGATGAAGGTGGGCTTCCATGTTGTCGAGCTGGGCGATTGTCGAGGCTTCGGATGATGGGCCTTTAGGGGGCTGTCGTGGATTGGGAATCGCAATTCGCATTGGGTGTCTGAGGTCTGAGGGCGGTCCAACGGGGTTGGCTGAATTTGCCCGCGAGGGACACAACTCCCTGGCTCGTTGGAAGTTTATCGGGTAGTGCTGTTGCTGGGGGGCAAGTTATGATCCGTCCACCTCGTCAATCAATCTGCCGCGTTTAGCCCCCTTCACCGCCGTTCGAACCTCGATCGAGACTGACGAGCCCAAGGCAGAACAGCTTGCCATGACGAAACCCGATAACCATCTTCAGGCGTCGTAGTGGCTAGCTCGCTCTGCACCCACTCGCGCGAGCCTTTTGCAACAATCAGAAGAAGACGGCAAAGACTTCATGGAGGACCAACCCAAGCAGAAGAAAAACGACTAACCCTTTGTGATCGATCCAGATACGAGCCCAACGAACCTCACGAGATTGTCCTCATCGTACATCCTGGTCTTGATATTCACACGAATCCGTAACGACCGATCGATACTCCTTGGAACCCAGCACTCCAGCAGTTCAGCTCGGCGGAAGGAAAGCGATTAGGTTGAGGCACACGGCGCAGACATCCAGCCTTCTTCACTTCCGACCCAGCGCAGCGCGACTTCATCATTGCCCCAGGAGCTTAAACATCCACCAACGCTCGGTCAGGATTTTCTCGTCCAGCTGTCTTGCTAGCGAAGCTGGTCCATTTCCCTTCAACGAGATCGTGGTTTGCGCCAGCCAAACACGCCCAATCCTAGGGCAAGTCCAACAACAATGCCGTAGTTACCATGTCCGGCGAAGTATCCGGGCAGCTACTCTCTGGCTTTGTCGGAGGAGCGGTCGAGAGATATTCTAAGGGCTATCCTTCTCTAGGTCTGTATAGCACGACTCCACGAGGACTTTCGATCAAATCGGATTTTTTGTCCTGTCTCCTCGGTAGACATGTCCCTTTGAATGGCAAATTCATGGACTCCTCTGCTGACAGAGCCGGACCTGAGGTATGGCCATGGGAGATGACAGAATGGGAGTGGTCAATCTCAACACCTACCCGTACGGGCATCAGAGACCTGGTGACGACTCCGAGGATGACAGCCAGCGAATGTTCTTTTCTACCTTTTTCTTTACATCAATAAAACTCTTCTGCGACCACTTGCTACTTTCAAACCCGCCATGTTCTGAGGTTTACGAATGACAACCCCATCTTCGTATACGGAATCACCTCGCACAAAACCAGCGGCCATCTTCGTCTCCTCCACGAACTTCGCTTCAGAAACGGTGTGCATCTCCCAAGTCCAAACTCAACAAACTGAAGGATGACATCACACCCAACCACACCCTCTTCTCGCAGCCTCACAACACCAAGCCATAAACAGCTAAACCGCCGTGCTCACATCGCCCGCCATCTCGCTAAGAGCTAGGATGCATTAGCACCTCTGATAGTGCGCTTTTGGTCGTCCGTACCTCTGCGACTCGCTAACAGACGCTAACAAGCGCTAGAAATTCCCTAAAAAGCCATCACTGCAACCAAAAAACAAAGTGCTGACGTCCGCCGCCAGAGGCCTAATAGTTTGCGATGTGAAGTGTGAGTTCGCGCCAACAAACTTTTGATTGCGGGCCAGATCTTAGCAGGAAACGCTGTCATTAGAGGGAGTGTTTGGACCGGTCTAGACGTCTCATTACCATTTGCTCTTGATACCGTGAAATGAGCGCAGAAACAACAATTGTGTGCGAAGCTGAACAGTCATGCAGCGAGCGAGGGAAAGAAGGACGACCAAAATCGGTAAGGAGGAGATAGGTACTTTTCACATGCGCCAAGATGCTCAATGAATGTCCGAGGTTGTCAGATCATCGAATCAGGAAAAGGAAGTCGCAGCGGCATGCAGAGTTGTCGGAGATGTGCATACCCAGAGCTGGGGTTACAGGGGGCTCCACTGGGCGCCAAGACTTGACGATGGCTTCTGTTGACTGCGGGAAAGAACGACCGAACGAGCAGAGGAAGCCATGATTGAGGGAAGAGGTTGGGAAGGAGCAACTGAGCAGGCAGAAGATTGATTGGCAAGTGAGCTGGTGAGATAGGGCACACAAACGCAATTGAGCACAGCACGCAAAAAGCCAACGGCAAAAAGGTTGATCAAATCATGATTCATATTTCGTACAGCTACATGTGCATATTCAGTTCCTCTCACTTGTGCGCATTGACACACCATCGTACAGAACGATCCGTACAAGCGATGATAACTGAAACAAAAGTATTTACCAGGAACCAAAAGTAAAAGCAAACCCAAAACACCATAAGCAATGCAAAACCCATCCATATGTTTCCCCATTCAGCTCCCATCATCACACTCACAACCCACCAAACGGTCCCTTCTCCGGCGCCGGCTGTCCAAACACCGGCTGTTTTCCATTCTTCCCTTGTCCCTCCTGTCCCTCCTCCTTCTTCACCTCCTGCTTCTTGCCATCACTATTCCCATCATCACCCTCCGTTTCCTTCTCACCCTTTGGCAGCGTCTGCCCCGGCACCGGCCTCCCGCCAAACATAATCAATCCTTCCCCCTCTTGCTTCTTCTCCTCAGCGCCATGTTCCTCCGGATGCAACGGTTTCAAAGCTTGATCTTCAACTCTCATCCGTTCCCTCATCTCCCTCTCAAGCTCATCCCTTCTCTTCTGCTCTTCCTCCGCCTTCCGTACCGCTTCCCCAAGTTGTTCAAGCTTGATAGCCTGCTCTTGCTCCTTCAATTGCCTTTCCCTCTCCCGTTCCAGCTCGAGACGTCTCCACTCTTTCAGCTTATTCTGCTCCTCAATAGACAGCGACTTGTAAGCTTCCACATCTTTATCCCACTTCTCTACACAGGCCAAGTCCCAGTTACATCTCTCGACCTCGCCATACACCGGGTGCGCATAGCGCGGGTGTTTGCTAGGCCAGTTACTAGCGTGGTAATGATGCTTCACCAAAGCGCCGCGAGCATTATGGTTTCCGGAATCGGAATGCCCTTGGCCAGCAGCGAACGCTTCCACGTCCAGAACCAGCACGCGGGAAACGACCTTGGACTCGTCCATGGCGTGGAAGTTATCCCATGTTATTTCCTTGCTGGCCATGGAGGGCGGCTTGATGCGATTCATCTCCTTGAGCAGCGCGATGGTGAACGCTGAAGGGCCAGTGCCGGAGATGACTTCGTCGAAATCCAGCTGTAACTCTGACAGGTGCACCTTCTGCTGGGAAGCAAGACCGTTCAGCCAGGCCATTATGTTTTCGACTAGGTTCAACATGACCGGCAAGCGGGGCTTGCACATAAACGTCCACTGACAAAAAGACATGCATTTGGACCCAAGGATAGGGTGGTCCTTAAACTCGGGCTGGTCAATCTCGATGCCGACTACCATGTCGATTTCGGAAAGCGAGTCCCAGTAGCGTTCGGGAACGAAACGCTTGATGGGCCGCAGGTCCTCGACGTCAATGTCCGCATACACGCCGCCTTCGGCGTACATGATTAGGTACCGCAAGAGGTCGGCCTTGATGATGGAGATGTTCACACTCTTATAAAAATCGATGATGTCGGGTCGGTTGATGGATGAGGAAGGGCCGTATTGCGATTCCACGTAGACCATGTCGTTGTAGTCCGTCAGGACTTCGTACCGGTAGCCGGGGTTCTTTGTAGTCCAGGTTTTGGCCGTGTCGAGGTCGCGCGTGGCCATGTTGTAGGGGTCGACTTTCCAGGATTGCCAGATTTTCTTGGGGAAGCCATATTCGTCACTCTGCAACGCCTTTTGTGTTATTTGGTGGTTCGTTATGCTCGAGGTGGAAGAGGATAATGTAAAGACGTGGGCGTTGAACATGATGAAGAACAACACGACGACGACGGCGTAGAGAGGTAAAGACCGCCGAAGTTGCGTGGGGATTCGGTTCCGAAAGGCGCCCGTTCCTGTCTCGGACATCTTCCTCCACTTGACGGGTATGCCGCCTAGGCTGGGCGACAAGGGCGACATTGGTGATAATGGTGGTGAGCTCATGACCGCCTGTTGTGTATGTGAGAGTCTGGGTCTGAGACTCTGGTCTGGTCTGGTCTGAGGGTAGGTGGGTAGGGAGGTAGCCAAAACTGCCGTGTACGTGGAATGATAATGTCCCGTATCCGGGAGTGGATGATGAATGTGAAGTGATGTCCCGTATCCGTGGATGAGAGAAGTTTGGGACACGGGTGGAGAGAGTAAGGTAGGATTATGGAGCAAGGAAGAGGAAAGAAAGAACACAAAATCAACTCAGAAAAGGGGTGATGAGGGACGGATGGGAAGGACTGGGCATATCAGATATTTTGGGTGGCCAGGTCCGGTTCAGGGCATCAGGGGGGAGAAGAAGATGGCGAGGATTGGGAGTGACCAGTAGGGAGCTAGGTAATACTATCCAGGGGTGATGCCTTCTTGCGTGCGGGTGGTAATAATAAGCGGACCGCGGACATGACAAGGACTGTTGCATTCTTCTCGCACGGGATGACCCCGATCTACTCCCCCATCCTCCTCCAGCCTAACCAAGTAGTAGTCAAGATTTTTGGTAGGTAGATTCTTACTCAAGGAGGTGACGGAGCTTTCCGTCGGGTATTCCTACTGCACGGGAATGGCACTTCAGCGGGGGTGGCCAGAGCTTGCCTTCTTCTTTCCCACTTGCAAGTACACTACATGCCGGAGATGGCTTGATGGCGACTATCTCCCGACCTCCTCTGGAAAACTCCTCGCAGAAACCCCACGTCTGTTGGGGTGTTACAGCAGCGAAGCGAAGCTTTGTGGGGGAAAATGGAGTCATTGGGGAGATCACGATGGAGTTTGAATTCAGCAAAACGGGCCGGTGACATGTGGAACTGGGTGTTGATCTTTTGGGGAATTCGGGAATGGCATCGGAGGAGCCTGAGGGGGGGAGACAAAGCTGGCAACCCTGCGACAGGTGAGGGCATTCCGGGCTTTTTATTCTACCGTTCACCCACTGGAGCCTTTTTTGAATGGAGGCATTTCGTTCACAACCCGATGGCTCTTTGACATTGAGAATACCCGCGATCACTCGATCATACTCGTTCTCTCACTTCCCGACTGAGACTATAACGGTAAAGAACATTCTTCTGCGGTTCCTCCATCAACCACTTGGTGTAGCTAGGAAAACACAAATCTGTACAGAGACAAGTAACGGAGGAGTCAACACTCAACAGTGGCCAGAATGACCTCGTATGAAAAGACCGGCCTGGCTCTCCACAACTGTGCCGTACCGTCGGAGGTAGCTTCTGATTTCAGGAACGGACTTGACAACGAACGGAAGCGATCGTCAGTGGACGATGGAGCCGTCATGTTCCCCTGTATTCTTCAGTTCCCCGGTCCCCCAGGCGAGAAAAGACGATCCTTCGCAGAAAGCGGAAGGTGTGTCGTCCATTTGGTCTCGCCAGTGACCGTGAAGGAAGATTGCAGCTGCACAGGCGGATATGATACCCAGCAAATGGAGGTCTGTGATTGGTTAGTCTGCGACTGGAGGGTAACATCAGCGTAACAGATCCCGGGGCTAAATCGCAAGCTTTTCAGCTTCCCTTTTTTTTCTGTTCGTGTTCTCCCTTATCTGTTCATCCACTTTGCGGCCGGCGAGACACTAGCTCCAGATGAGATCAAGGAAAAAACAGCCATCTTGTTTTCTTTTTCGCTTTCCTGACCAGGCTCTGCAGTGTGGTACAGTGTGGTGTTGCTAGCCCGGAGTAAACCCCGGGTTTGTCGTTATGTAACAGGGGTCCACCCTCCAACGTCTTGAACAGTGAGAACCTAAAATGAAGAAATGCCGAGAAAGGTTATTGGTTCGGAGCTTGGGCACTTCCATGTGAAAGTGATAGTCCGTGGAATACACCCAAAGGGGCATGTTGGGAAAGCTCACAAAGTCGCCGTTGGGGTTGTTGGTAGTGTACGTGTAAGCTTCCATTGAATTGCCGCTACCTGACGATGATAGTCAAGCAAGGCGAGTTGTGTTTATGGAACCCCCAAGTCGTGAACACTTACTTGTCCGGCAATGTGTATCGGAAGAAAGACAGTGAGATGTGAGCCGCAAGGAGGAGAAACTGTCCTCGAAAAGTCAAGAGACTCGGAGGATTTGAGCAAGACTCCACATTTCCATCAGATGTCTGTTCGCCAGCTCTGGACCTTTTTTTTGCGTGCAATGGAGTGTTTGTGCTTTTTCTTGTCCTCATTTCCCCGCACATAACCCTGCCGTCCCCTGGTCTGGTCTCCATCTTGCAAGCGAGCGGAACTTGTTGAGACGACGATCAACCCGCATTTCTCCAGATTTGAAGGCGTTCCTCTCCGCTTTACTCTCCACTTCCTCCGCGCTTCCCCCGCACACACCGTATCTCGACGTGCACCGATCAGTTCCCTTCTTGAGCGGAGAGAATGACAACGACAGCAAAGCAGGGAGTTCATATTGACAAACGCCAACCTCGGAGGATTTGACCTTCTTTGCATGGCAAATGCATCTTGTCGGAGGATTTCCATGATGGTGTGAACCTTTTCGAAACTTGTGGTGGTGAAAGCATATCAAGTTGGGGATGCCACGTTCTGAACCGAGGAAGTTTTCATCTTGTTCTGTTTCGAACTTGTGATGTTGAAAAGAAAGGAACTTGCCGACGGGAAACACTTGTCACTTTTCAGAATCCAATTGTCCAGCCACGACGCACCGCCACAAGCCTCTTTCTTCCCTCCCCCGCTAAGTCGAACACCAGCCACATATCACCGAATTCGGACATCGAAACAAATTCCATTCGCCGGCTTCCCATTTCTTAGCGGCCCCTTTCCCCACTAAACGAAACCCTTCAGTGGACTAACCACCTGTAACGGCACGCTTTCAGTGGACTTGACAAGGGTCATCGACTTGCCGCGAGAATTCCACAGTGACACCAATATTTTCTCGTCATTTGTTGACTTTGCGCATTCCATTCTCTCCAAGCCACCGGTCCAGCCAGACCAACCACAACCTCCGTTCAACCAGATTTGTACGCGGCTTGGTTGTTCAGGTCCAGTCGCGTTTGTTTGTCAATCGTGTCCATGCCTAGCGATCTCGACCACGACGACAACCACCTCCTCGACACCTCCCTCCACGACCCCGAAAAGTGGCATGTTGACAATCGCAACTCGTGTCGGTTCCCAAGTCTTCTCCGGAAGCCCATCATCGCCATCATGACCGCCTTAACGATCCCCTCCTCAACGGCCTCGAGTCTCGTCAATCGCCTGACACACCTCTTCGCCATGCCCAGCTTCGACACTCCCGAAAAGCTGCGACCAACGGCCTACCTCGACGGCCTTCGCGGGTTCGCCGCCTTCCTCGTCTACTGGCACCACCACGAACTCTGGTCGCACGGCCTGATGCGCGACGCCATCTTCGAGCGAGGCTACGGTTTCGACGGCCAGCACTACTTCAGCGCCCTGCCCTTCGTGCGCAACTTCTTCGGCGGCGGCCACTACGCCGTGGCGACCTTCTTCGTCATCTCGGGCTACGTCCTCTCCGTCAAGCCCATGCGCCTGATCCACGCCGGCGAGCAAGAGAAGTTGGCCGATAACCTGGCCTCGGCCCTGTTCCGGCGATGGCTAAGGCTGTTCATGCCGCTGATCGCGACCACGTTCTTGTTCATGACCTCGTGGCATGCGTTTGGCATCTGGGTCGACTCGGCAAAACCGCAGAGCAACTACCGCGATGAGTTCTGGTGGTGGTACGCCGAGGTCAAGAATTTCAGCTTCATTTACCATCTGGGAGGAGAGCCATGGTTGAGCTATAACTTTCACCTGTGGTCCATCCCGGTGGAGTTTAAGGGATCTATGGTTATTTACACCAGTTTGCTCGCCTTTTCGCGGTGCACGAGAAAGGCCAGACTGTGGTGCCAGGTGTTCCTGATATTCTACTTTGTTTACATCGTTGACGGGACACACTACGCTTTGTTCAGCGCCGGCATGCTTCTCAACGACCTCGACCTATTGGCTATGAAGGACGAGCTACCGAACTGGCTCGCTCAGCTCGAGCCCTTCAGCAAACACATCTTCTACTCCCTCTTCGTTGTCAGCTTCTACCTCGGAGGCGTACCAGTTCACACCAAGGACATCAACGACCTGGCCAAGACACCCGGGTGGTACTTCCTCTCGTTCCTCAAGCCGCAGGCCGTCTATGACTACAAGTGGTTCTACCTCTTCTGGGCCGGTGTCTTCTTGGTGGTTTCGGTTCCTCGCATCCCCTGGCTCAAGCGCTTCTTTGAGACACGTTTCTGCCAGTACCTGGGTCGCATCTCCTTCGCGCTTTATCTGGTCCACGGTCCTATCCTCTGGACCATTGGCGACAGAATCTACACGGCTGTGGGATGGGGAAGGGAGCCTCAAATTACCATGTTGGCGAACTGGGTGAACAAGTTCCCTTTGCCCATGGCTGGACCGTTCGGTCTTGAGATTGCCTTCTTACTGCCACATATTGTGCTGTTGCCATTGACGTTGTACGTGGCTGAGATCTCCACGAGGCTGTTTGATGAGCCTAGCGTTACGTTTCCCAATTGGCTTTACAAGAAGGTGTTGGGAGGTGGACAGCCTGGTGGTACTAGGTTACCTTGAGTTACGAGAAAAAGAGGCACATGCTTGTACGATACGATACGATAATGGGACAGGCAGGACATGGGTGGAGTTTTTGGGATTTGATACCAGTCGCATATCTAGACAGCGGCCACTATAATGGATTGGATATTCACGATTTCACTTTCTCTTTCACTTTCTCGTTCGCGTCACTGTAAACACCAGCACCGACACCTCCGAAGCCGGAATGAGTTCTGCTCCTTCGACATCTGTGAATACGAGCTGCACAGACATTATCAGAATCTCCAAGTTTCGTTTTTCATCACGGCCGGTCATCACAAGTCCAATACGACCACAGCGTCGTACCCCAACCCCAACCATAACCCCTGCCAAGGTGACAAGATCGTCACTTATCCACAGTCCTAGTGACGTCGATCGCATGCAGGAGTTGGCAAATCACGAACAAGGAAGACGGAGCAACTTCCGAACGAGGTTTAGCCAAATCATCCGGGGTAACACCAATCAGCTCTGTCCTTCTCGGACAACCAGCTCGGCATTTTGCTCGAAGCATATGACAGCAGTTGGACGGTAGCTGGACGGTCCCCCACAAAGAACTGCTGGCTGGTGGTCCTCGCCATCGATGCCACTGGGGGATGGGAAAGGAAATTGGCAAGATTGGCGGTCTAACTTGCTGGTGGGAAGTGGCGGAAGGGATGATCTTATACAACAAGCTTCTTTTCTTTTGTCTCTTCCTGTTCCTGTTCCTGAATGTTGCCGAGGGAGAAGCATCGTTGACACGTGCTGGTGTTGGAGATCGTACCTGTACCTCTTCTGCCACTCACAACGACTGTCGCTCTCAACGGCAAACGGACACGCAGAATCACCAGCCATCGATCATTACCGCCACTGAAGGACCACCTCACCAGCATCCTCCACCTCCACAGTTTCTCATAAGAAACATAGAGATCAACGTCCGTTCAACCAAGCTTTTGCCAACCCCCGCTTGATCTGCACGCTGCTCTGAGTTGCACACGTCCGTGGGCGTCCGGGGCGTCTGGGGCTCACCTGCGAGCCTGCTCATCTGGGGAAAAGAAGCAGGGACAACGCCACTGCACATCTGCATATCTCCAACGCTTGAAGATCCAGCATCCATACTCGAAGCTTTGTTAGAGTCCATCCGAGTCCACAGTCTCATCCACTCCAAAGGCTCGAGGCCCGGTGGTAGTTCCCGGCCCGGCACTTTTGTCACAGGATTACCTTCATTCATTCTCTTCTCCGGGACTCGAAGACAATACTTGGCATGTCGTTCTCGTTCTCATTGCCCAGTATCAGTATCATAGTAATCAGAACTGTTGTGATTCGAACGTCCTGACTCGGCTTATCTCATCACTCACTCACCCGATTCTGTTGAGGTTTTGTTAGGACTTGGCATATCTCATACAGTCCATTCTCACACCTACCACCCACTGAACCCTCAACACCAAACATACCATCACAATCATCGCCGTCACCATGCTCGTCCGAGACCTCCGCCGTCTCTGCCTCATCATCGGTCCCTTCCTCGCTTTCTTCTTCATCACCCTCACCATATGGGGATTTCCATCCTTTGCCGGCGAGAAAGTACCTTTCATCCTCGGCGACAGTTTCGGGTCATCAAGGAATCAAGTTCCATACCACGGCTCATCTTCATCCAAAGATGGAAGCACCAAGTCTTCCCCATCAGAAGGCTCAGACGGCGGTATCGCACCCGGTCTGTTTCAGCCGGACTCCGGCAACAGCAAAGATGAAGGCCATCAAACAATCCACTCCGTCTCAACAAACAACGGTTCCTACTTCCGCATCGAATTCGCAAAAGACACACCAGCTTTCAACCCGAATATTATCCCCCATCCTACCCGTCCGGGGGTGTTCATCGTGGTAGCGCAGAAGTGGCATGAGTCGAGGAAACCTTCATCACCATCCCCTTCATCCCCCGACTCCACTTCATCGGATACCAATCATACCGCTGCTGGCGCGAAGCAAAAGTCACAGCACGCAACGATGCAATCTGAGCTTTCCTGCCTGGCTTCCTTCCACCCTTCTGCCTCCAACCCCAAGGTCCTCCGCTGTCTGCCTGAATCTCCACCCTTGCCGCTGCCGATAGCAGCAACACCGGGCAATAACTGTGTCGGTCCCATCTTAGGTGTGTTATCGTTCAATGTCGGACCGCATGATGCCAGGGTTTTCTATGGAGGGGATGGAAAACCATACACCATCTTTGGGAGTAACAGCCAGTTTACCTGCTTTGGGGATGTGGATGCAGGACTTTAGGGTGTTGGTGGAGTGGTGGGGAAGTGAGGTTGAGGCGTTTGGTGCTGGTCAGCTGTGGAGGGTTGCCGGGGAGTTGCAGAGGCCGATACTCACTGTTGATGGAGGAAAGGGAGGTGAGGGGATGGGAGGAGCTGGACGGGATTTGAAGGTGAAGGATGAAGGGATCAGGACTGGGGATAAGGGAGCGGGTGGTGAGGGTACATCGAGGGTCCTCAATGAGATGGGCGAGGAGATGGACGAGGAAAGGCCAAAGATACCAGCTGGTTGGGGCGAGATTGAGAAGAACTGGTTCGTCTTTTGGGCTCCTCCTCTTGACTCCGGCTCCGGCTCCGGCTCCAGCTCCAGCTCCAGCTCCAGTTCCTCCTCCTCGGTCTCCTCACCGAAGTCCTCTCACCATAAGCCCCAAATCAAAGCCCTCCAAACTTACATCCACTACGACCTCTTCCCCTACCGTTCCTTCGCCATTCTCCACGACGACGGCAGCGCTACCGCCATCCCCTCATCATCCACCTCCGCCGCAAAAGATGAAAAGTGCCTATCCCACTACCTCCCCCCTCTCCCCTCATCGGAACCAGTCTCAATCCACCAATCCACCAACAGCCTCCGTATAACCCTCTGCAACCGCTCCGATCCCTCCTGCATCCCAACAGAATCCAACACTTTTCTGTTGACAATTATCCAATACAAGCGATTCTACCATTTCCACTCAGAATACGAACCCTACGTCGTTTTGTTCAGCCAGAGAGCCCCTTCCTTTGAAGTGTTTGGTGTTTCGAGAAAGCCGGTTTGGATTGAGGGACGGAAGAAATGGGAAAAGGGGGAGTGGCATGGCGAGGGATTGGGAGATGGGCAAGAACGGACGGAGATGTTTTATGTTACGAGCGTTAATTGGAGGGACTACCATGGTGACCGGGAAGGCAACGGTAAAAACGGTGAGAATGGGGCAGGATATCATGGTTTCTTGGATGATGTTTTGATCATTGGGTTTGGGATGGAGGATAAGGAGAGTGGGGGGATTGATGTTTTGGCTGGGGAGCTGATAAAAGGGGTTGGGCTTTGTGAGGATGTTGTGGGAAAGGGTGACGTGACAATGGGTGGTGAGAAGCAAGTTGATACGGTCGGACATACGGTGTCGTCGCCGGTGAACGATGCGGCGGTGTCGGATTCTGGGTTGGGACAGCAAGGAGCTGGAAAGGATGTTCGCCCGCCGCCGCAGCAGCCGTTGGATATGACCGGCGCTGGGTTTGATGGATTCCCGGCTCAGGATGTTCCGTTGGAGATACCGGCTGACTTTCCGGTCGACTTTCCGAAGGATTTCCCAGCTGCTGATTTTGGTTTGGGACCGGGAGCGCAACTGGATACTCCGCCTCCGTCTCCGCAGCCTCATTCGGGGTCACATGTGGAGAAGAATTGGTGGAAAAGAATGAATGGGATCTGATCGGCTTCTTGATGGGACTTAGGCCTTCTTCATTCCTTCCACCATTCGATGATGTTTCAGACCATTGGAATTGCGACATCAGCCGTTGACCGTTCCTGGCGCAAACCGACAAACACACAGATGGCAATCGCGATCTCTCAGTCTGGTCGGGAAGGAGCATCCGGGACAAGACACTGCCGGCGCAAAAAAAAAGCCACTATCCCGAGACGATGGGCAGAGACAGAAACATTGCTTTTGGCATTGGCAACCAGAATGACACACGCCGCGGAGTTCACCTTGACTGCACTGCACGACATTACACCCACACTTCCACATGATCCATTCACGCCACCACCATCAAGGGCGTCTTCTCCGCACCGGAACCAAATATCCACACCACCACCATGACCAACACCACCACCCACACTACCGCCCCAACATTATCATCAACCAAAGGTGGTGTGCGCGATATGGAGGCCTTCAGCCAGCCTTCCGCCTTGCGTCCTTGTGTCGCTTCCGGTTGTGTTTTCCTCACGCAATCGCGCAGTGATGGTCGCACATTTCACCCAACCCTCTTACACCTCACACAACTACACGATGGCACACAAGAGCGATACAAAGTTGGTGTTTGTGTTTGATGTTTACGTCGAACGGCTTTCCTCTGCAATACAGCTGCACTACACCGCGCCGAACCCATTTGACGGACTGCATGTGTGGCAGTTCCTACATGCTCTGCAGACGGTCTCCAGATGTCTACGGCCAAAAGCAAGGTGTGCAGAAGGCGTGCAGGTGAGACACCGAGCCGTTGATACTTTTTGCTCTCCCTTTGCCAGCCACTATCGGCCACGGGACTTGGCGTTGAAAATTTCTTATCGTCAGGTGTTCAATATTCGTCTGCCGCTCCTCAAGATTTTGGGTTTCTGGATGTGATCTGACGGTTGCACATGTGAACCCTTGCAAGCGATGAAAGACTGGACAATTTGGTGCCTAGTTCTCTCTTCTTCCATCGCCTTCGCCTTTCGCTTTCTTCATCTGTTACCGAGGATGCCCAGCCCACGATCGCCATGGTATTGAACACCCAGGCAGCGAAAATAGGATCTTCGTGTGCCTGTTTACTTATCTCCGATGATGGACAGGACGCTTTCCCTAGCTTTTCACCCCAAGTTAACTCACATCCAGGTCTCTGGAAAGTCAGGGACACGAACACAATCACAACCCCTACCACCACCTCTCGGCCACTGTTCCTCGCGTCCTCCGTAGGACTCATTCCCCGTCCTCCATCACGCGGCAACACAACCCAGCTGAAAGATGCAGGCACACACCAAAAGGACTAAACGAGTGGAGAAAGAGAAGCGCATCTACGGCGCAGGTACCTACTCTGCTACTGTACATGCTACCTAACTATGCAGCTGTGCTTACGCTCCAGTTCGGCTGCGATCTGCAAGGGGCGGTCCTACGCTTACGCAGGCTTCTCTTACTGGTATGGTGGTCATCCTGAGGCACACCCGCCATGGCTGTCTTCACCTCGGTGTCAGCCGTTCACCTTGTTCGACTCATCCTGTTATTCTCTTCCTCTTGCCTTAACTGGTGGCCTTGTCACCGCGCCACCTCTGCGGCCGGTGGTGACCGGTGATCCCCGAGTGCCTCGTGGTCTTGGTTTCGATCGTACTCGTGTTGTATTTGGAGTGTGTCAGGGATAATGAGGACAAGGCTGGATGAAATTGTGGCTCGGTACACCTTGTGTCAGCAAGTGACGTTTCTCGCTACGGTGCGGCTGAAGGGCGGACGAGTATGACTGGATCACGGATGGGCCATAACAGACCTTGTTGCGGGCTGTGATGGTATGGCCTGCTGGTGACCTTGCCCTTGCGAGGCAAGAAGTCTGCCGCGCTTTCTATAGTCTGTCATCATTGGGAGGAGATGAGCGATGGATTCGTAATGCTTTCCCGCTGCTGATCGAGATAATGGGATGGGCCTTTTGGGAGGACTCCCAGGAAGGGACTTATAGAGCCAAGAGAGGACACCCAGCGCCAGAGGGCCGATTGTCGTCACTCGGTGTTTCTGTTTTGTATTAATGTCTATCGATTTGTTACTTCGTTTCATTCTCGCTGTATTTCTAATCTTTCGATTGAGTGACATTGTCACGCCGATCTTCTTCCATGTGTCCTCTTGGTCGCCGCCTTTCTTGCGTTGTGGTGTCAACAAATCTTCATTTTTGTGCAGGGTAAGTAACAATTTTCCGCTTGCCAGAAAAGAGTTGCATCAAGAGACCACCAGGCTGAAGACTCAATTCTTGGCGACGTGAATCCCCTCGTTTCGGCCATGAGAAGGTCGACGAACAATGACATTGTACCCTCCCATCATGCATCGCTACTTTCTTCCTCACTTGCATCCACAATCTCAGGAATACAACTGGCGGAGTTCTCTTTGTTTCATGAAACTTCTCGAATCCATTCTCCCAACAACGCCATCATCAAGCATCTCCAACTGAAGGCCGAAGGCTGCAAAGCGGCCTCCAGCTGAACCACCATTACCACTACCACCACGCTTTATCATGCCTTATCGCATCTACCTGACACAAAGCTGCCAAAAGTCCAAAACGGCCCCCAACTCACAGAAACCGCTGCCTGCGCCGCCACCTACACACCCTCCGACCCTCCACCTACACCCTTGCGCCATTACGCCTTGCCCTTCCGTCGCCCGCGCCGCATCGGCGCCGATGACCATCACGCCTTTTCTTCGAGTCCCTCGTCCAGGTCCGGCCATCATCGGCTCCTTCGTATCGGCCGTGTTTCTGACGATTTCAGATTGTCCGTTTGTCCGGCGACCGAACGCAGGGAAAGGAAAGGAGCGTTCATCCGAAAAAGGAAATGCGGCGAGCGTATGGTGTAAGTCATTGGACCTGTTCGGACGTGGCTAGCGTAGGCGGCAGTGCTGCGAAACAGGGACCTCACAGGGTCGTTGCAGGGTCGTTGCTAGTGGCAGGCGCAGACGCAGGCGCGGGTGCCTGGGCGGTGCTTGCTGGGGGTGTGCAACTAAGGTAGATGCTACTAACGGCAATTTGCATCCTGTTAACAAGTTCCTACCGTAACTTAATGGGGTTCTGTTACTGGTACTTGACAATCTGTTTTCGGAGATAGCTAGGGAGGTGTGCTTTGGTCGGTACCTAACGCGGGAAAAACTCCCGTCGGCGATCTTCCTCCGCGCTGCCTCGTGTCGTGTCGTTGTTCAACTTCTGATGTCATCGCTGCCACTGTCTGTTGTCGTCATTGTCCAGAAAATGCGCAGCGCGACGTTAACGGCTCGTGATCTATGGATTTTTGGTAGTCCGGTTCATTGATTGCGCACGATGTTCGCCGTGATTCGGTCCGCCGCCGCTTTTAGATTGTCGGCTCGTCAAATCGGCTACACCCGAAGGCCCGTCTGCCCGAAAGTGCAAGTTGAATGCAAGCAATGAGGCGATGAAGATGAAGATGAAGGTGAAGTTTGGGATGCACATCATTCACGACCCTTTTTCGCGTTCGAACCAGTCACCGCGTAGTAAGGCTTTGCAACTTGCACTTTCATCTTCGCCAGTAAAGATTTGGCGGTGTCTGCGTCCCCCATTCCCTCCTCTAGCAATCTTCAACCAATGCCGTTCATCGCATTTGTCAGGTCGTATCTCAATATGAGATCGTGCAATACGAATTTTTGCTTTCATCATTTCCCGGGTACGATGCCCATCACTTTCCCTCTCCGCAATTCGCAACCGAGAGCAGTAAGCGAACGCAACAATACGATACGACACTTTGCTTTAATATCAATGATAAGAACTCGAAAGCCAAACTGTAAAACGGGATACGACCTTTTGATCATCGCTTGATCATCGCTACCACTGCAATTGACGATACGACCCCTCCTCTCAGTCTCTTCTGCCTCTCCATCATTAGGGCGGCGGTGCCTGAAATGCCAAGCACTCAACTCCTCATAGGGCGCAACCTGCTGACACCTAGAAAGTTGAAGTAGCAACGACGATGGGGAACCGTAACTTCCTGAGCGGGAGCATTGGGAGGGTCGTTGACGGTCGACGATTGCTGACTGCATGAAGTCCTGCATCGCGGGAAAAGAGCTGCACTGTATACTTTTTGACATGTTGCTGTTGCGAATCCAGGAGGTTGGCTGGGTTGGCTGGGTGGCAGAGTAGGAGCCCTCACAGGCTCGACAGGGTAAGTGGGGGCTATGCGAGGTGTAAGCCGCCAGGTTTCATTCTTATGATGTTGATGTTGACGTTGATGAGAAATGTGATTGTGAGGGTGAAGGTGGGAATAGCTTCATGTTTTTGCTTGCATGTGAAATCTGTTTACTGGGGATAGTATACCGAGTGGAAAATGAGTGGAGGAGCATCATGAGAAAGTCAAAGGTAGTGCAAGTGAACTGGGAAAATGAAGTGATGCATCGTTGCAAAATGTCTTGTTGTTGACCATCGTGATATTCGTGATAAAAAGAAAAAGTTCCTAGCTAAAGAAGCAAAATATGATCGTTTGAAGCAATCGCAAAACCCATTCGTGGGGTGAAGCCCACGGTCCTAAATCTCCTAGTAATACAGCGGCACGACCTTCTGATCATGCCCTCGAAGCGAATTTTTTGTCGATTTTTGTGTTTCTGTCCATCGTAGTCCCTCTTCCCAAGCTCTCCTCATTCCTCCAAGGTACCGCTCAATAATAATCGTACCTATCCCCATTCCTGGTGGCCCGATTCCCTCCATGTCGCCCAGTGCTTCCACCGTTATCCCTCTCGAACCTGCTCCTCAACCGATCGTAATCGATGCTCGCCATCGACCCGGTGAGAGACAAAGAGACATTGCTCTCCTTCTCCACGTTCCGGTCCCGGGTGGCTCCCCTGAGCCCCAGGTCCGCGACCGACCTCCTCAGCTCCTCAATGCTCATCTCCACCTCCACTCCCTTTCCCTTGGTGCTGCGATCCTTGCTGCGCTCGTTGCTGTCCTCGCGGGTACCAGCGGGCTTCTTGAGAATGCCCTTGAGCTCGACAACCTGCTCAGTGTTCGGCTTGTTGGTGCGGCTGGCATCTCGGCATCTGTTGCTTTTTCTTTGACTCAACGTCGTCGGCGAAGCGGACGCCGACGGATGAGGCGCGAGAGCGAGAGCCTCCTGAAACGGTTCTTGGGCGAGGTGTACGGCCAGAGTCATCGTTGCGAGAGGAGACGCTGTTCCTGCGGCGAAGTGAGTCCATGCCGCTGGGGCCGGTGGGGCTGGATCCGTAGCGGCCAGTGTTGTCGCCGGTGCGGGGAGGGCGAGAGGCGGGAACAATGCCGGTGGTAGCGGTGGTGGAAACGGCATCAGAGGGACGGCCGGCGCGACGGCGTTTACGGTCTTCGTCGGCGAGATTGATGAACTCAAATCCAGAGTCTTTCTTGGAGTGCTGCTTGTAGTGACCAGAGTGGCCGGGGCCCGGGCTAGGGTCGCGCTCAGAGCGTCGACGAGTGTTATCCTCCTGAGGGACGTTGTAGTTGTGTGTGACTACAACGGAGGGACGCGTGTAGACATCCGCCTTAGGCTTGCTGTCAGATGGGCTGCTGCCATACTTGTAATTCGGGTGGTCGTCATTATGTCTCGACGAGCGCGAAGGCTCGGAAACCCGAGTGCCATGGAGGTATCCGGAGTCCCGCTTGCCTACGGGCGAAGGCTCCTTGGATTCACGAGGTGTAGGCGGCAGATGGACAGGCAGGTATCCAGGGTACCTGGGCTCGCTTCTGTTCGACTTCTCGGGAAGCGTCTGCCAGATTTGTTTGACAGTGGGGAAATCGCACAAGCCCTTGTGGCAGTTGTAAACCCTCTCGGTGACGTCGGGCCGCGTCCCATTGGTATAGGTGTTATGGCTGATCTCCTGGATGCACATCTTGTCGTTGTGTTTGGTACCAGATGAGAATGTTTCTGATGATCCTAGATCTCTAGGAGACGGAGAAGCAAGGTGTCCTCGGTGAGAGTGAGAATGTGAGTATCGATGATGAGGCTCGAACTCGGTGCCAAAGGTTGGTGATGGAAGAGGTGATGGCAATGATGTAGTGTGTTTGTGATGATGTGAGGAGTCGTAGACTATGTTCTCAATTCGTACGTCCGGGAATCGAGACATGAAGTCGATATCAGTCGGCCGTGTCAGAGTTAAAGTTGTCTTTTGGGTACTGATGTCTCAAAGACATGGGAACATGCAATGGCGGTCGTGGTTGGGTTTGTTGGTGACAACTTGTCGATGAGACGGAGTCTTATGCGGCGAGGTCACTGTGAAGTTGATGTAGTTGTTGTGTTGAGTTGCTGGATGGATCACCGGGCCTTGCCTGATGTGTGAATTTGTTTGGAGATGTTGGTAACAGACTGTGATCGATGTGTTGATGAAGGCGATGGTGAGATGGTGAGGATGAAGGTCGGACCAAATGGTGGGAGGTCACGGCTTATATGTGCTTCGGTGTGTGGTAAAGGTGAACCGGAGTCTCGAGAGGTGTCATTAGCTTCCAGTTCGTGTAAGTATGTAGGTGGGCGGGCGTGTGCCAGACCACTCAAAGTCTCACACTGTCCGCAGTTCATGACCCTTGTACGAACTGGCGGGTGTAGTGAAGAGATGCCTCATAGGCTCACCTCGATCCACACCCCCTCTCCAGGCAGGAACTGATCATGCTTCAATAAGAGCTCGGCGAATGCGACTGCCTCCAGGCCGCCAGTCGGCAAAAGAGTCACTTCTCTCTGTGAGCTGGGGTGTGGCAGTACGAAGAGTGCATCGCCCTGGTCCAATCGATAACGGCACAGCCCAGAAGGGCTGAGCTACCAAGTCTACATCGTGGTAACTCTTGTAACCAGGCGTTCTAGCGCGGCGCGCTATTCCTCCCCAGTTTTTGCTAGGATCATTTCATGGTTCTCCGCTCCGCTGGAAATCCCCGAAGATGGGAGAAAGAAATGTTGGATCGAAGATTAACGACGGCCGCAATAGGAAAAGGGTGTACATGGGAATAGTTACACACGCTGGTGATGTTGAAAGGACAGGGATGAAGAGCCAAGAGGGAGCCCAGACCAGGACTCCAAGGCCCTGTGATCCCCTGTCATCTTTGGATTTTCCCAGGCTTCACCCCCACCATCGCGACCCCTGGTCGTCCACCCCTCAACGACCACCCTCGCTCCTCCCCGCAACCGTCCGTCCTACCATCATTGTGGTGAAGGACATGTTTGTGAGTTTTTGGTGTTGGCGGGAATGATGAACTAGGGTTTCCTTCAGAGGCAACCCATTGGCTGTGCGAAGGATTCAATATTTCGGGCCGGAAGGAGATGGTAAGAACGACAAAAGTTCATCACCGGAATGGCTGTTGGGATGAGAAGGTCGCCAGGGAGACTCACTGGACCAACATCGAGTTCGTTGACACGGCCTGCGCTTGCTTCACTCTAGAATATGCAAAGCCGGCAAAGCAGGTACCGTGCCGACATGCTAGAACCGGAGTTTATCAGCTGGTAGGACTTTTTCTATATTTCGGAGATCTTCTGACAACGATACTGTCAGGCCATAGTTTTTTTGTTCGGCGTCTTGACTCACTGGAGTCCACCGTTCGTGTCCTGGGTCCTCCAGACATCGTCCAACGTACCGCGTGTGTAGGACTCTTTTTTGAGGGTGTGACAGGGTAGACAGGGGTGAAGACGACCCTGTCGCATCAAGCGCCACAAGTGTTCGGCAGCCTGGATGGGCGGCCAGTCATCTCGACAAACTGCATTCCGTTCCCCGCAACCACCAGCATGTCATGGCCGTCTGCAAGTGATTAGCGGGAGTGAAAGCAGAGCCCGATTTGAGGACCCTATACCAGAGTGCAATTGATTAGTGCAATAGGTGCGATTTGATCCAAGTGCAAAAGCAGGTACAGGGCAAACGTGCAGGGAACCACTGCTGGCGCCGCGGGGGTCTTGCATTCTTGGAGAGCTCGGCCTACTGCAAAGGTCTGGGGCTATGCTCACTGGCTTGGTCCCAGCCCTAGAAGTGGGAGCGTTGAGAAGTGGGCGTTGCGTGGGAACACTTGGCTGTGGAGGACCTCAGGACACAGGGAGGGAGCTGAGCTTTTCCTCTTTGGGACAGGTTGCGCACTCTTAGCAACAATTGATCTGATCATCAAGTCACATGACGAGGTGATGTAATGGATATATCGTTGACCTTGGTAAAGTCGACCTTGGTAAAGTCGACCTTGGTGGACGGTATCTGTCTCGATGCTCTTCAGCATGGGGTTACACCTCCGCCTCTATTCCAGAATGTCAGTTCCACGACAGTGTCAAAAGGGTCGCTAGAATGGGCGTCTGCCAAACCGGCGTCTGCCAAGGCAACGATGTGCCAGTCGCTTGATGGGCCAAGCGCTGTGGTAGTAGAGGGTGCGAGGAAGAAGAGTGCTTCGGGGAAAGTTGTATGTAGGAGTCTGGCGACGATGTTGTTCGTGTTTCAGAATCAGCAAAGGGGGTACCAATCGAAGCGCTCAATGACCCGAAAGCATGTCCCTTTTTGGAAAGCAAAAGATTCCCAGTGCTATCTTTGACGGTTCCATCTTGGAAGTACTCGGCGACTTTTGCCGGTACTTTGGGCTTGCGCACGGACTGTCGCACAAGACGATAATGATGGTACAAACACGCCAGCAAGGCTGACTTTCACTCCCAGATAAAGGTGTTGATCGGCCGTTCCAGGTGTACAATGCTGGGCAGGACATGGAATGGTGTGGGCAACGACAGAATGGCCTAGCCTTGTCCAAGAACGTCCTTGCCTTGATATGGGTTCGTCAGCTGCATGACCATGGTCCAGGCAGCATTACGGATGAGAGGGGAAGTGTGATGACACGGAGAATTTGCCAATGTCATATGCTGACCGAGATGAAGATGTGGTAGTGGATCTGTGGATTGCGTGTGAGATTCGTATGCCATGGGTGAAGAGAGAAAGGGAAAGCCCCTTGCATGCCTCTCCATTGTCCACCGGGCTCTGCTCAAAGAAAAGGAGTACGGAACGGTGCGCATCAATGGGATAGGCCTGGCCGCCCACGTTGATCATTCCAGAAGCATCGCCTTCTTTCGGACCTCTTCTAGGACCTGGCGTCGGGGGTGCCATGATGGAGGCCAAAGGTACACTGTCTGGGTCAGGTGCAGGAGCTGACGAACTAGAAACAGGCAGGCGCCTACGGCCACCAGTCAGAGTCCAGCTGGCGATTTGGAATCGCGAGAATGAAGGTTGAAACCCCCAACAGACTGCACCGATGCAGGTCTGTAGCCGCGGACTTGGAAGGTCGTCTCCTCTGGTTTCATATCCTAGTTGCCATGCAAGACGGTTGAAGTTTTCTGACCCGCATACAGAGACGCCATCAAGATGATGCCTCAATGATGGACGGGCATATCGTTGAATCCTTCCGAAATGTCATGATGCAGGTCGACGACGATGGAAGGGAAAGGCTCGAGAGAGGCAGCCGGGGACACCGGAACTTTTCGAAATGGCGCGTCTATTGCGCTTAATCGCTTGGTCCGACCATGGTCACCACCGGGGTTAGCCGCCAACAGTGGATGGTCGCAGTTGCAGTCGCAGTACGTAGCAGTCGTCGACTCGATTAGGAACGCCCATGGCGTGTGTTTATTGCGAAAATGGATTCGGGGTGTGAGCCTAGGTGGCAGCCATGGACAAATTGGTGTAGCAACAGGTTGCTGTACTGCGCCGCGGTCTGGACTTTGCGATTCTGTGGTTTCGAGTTAGCCCATGGTAGATTTTGCAGTATTCCACCTCGGCTGACGTCGCAAGCTGAAAACGGCTGCATATTTGTCGAAGATTGATTGACATTGAAGGAAAAACATGCCGTGACGACCAACAAGCTTGCGGGTGTTGGATAAAGACTGACAAAGCAGGAAAAGTTGAGGGGAGCGGAAGGGATGGATGAAGCTTACACTTGCCTTTAGCGGACCGGACGGTGTTGTCGGACCAGTTCGGTTGGTTGAGTTGTGCCTGGATGTGCCGGGCCTGAGTGAGGTTGCGTTGGTTGTTGGCGGAAGGAGAGTGCGGACCGCTGCCGATCATGAGAGATTTGCTGTGGAATGTCCGTTGGTCGGAGCGGAAGCGGAGGATTATGAGGAAAGTTTTCATGTCACGCAACAAACGAAGACATCCATATGGAAAGTCACGATGCTAATGGTCAGTCCGAGTCGTCAGGCGTCGCTGAGAGATTGAAAGTGGTGATGACGATCTGGTGATTTGGTGGGGTGCTGCGTGGTGTGTATCTTACAGTACAGCACGCGTAAATTACGATAAGAGCGTATCCTCTCTGGTCAAACTCACAATGGCCCAAGCGTCCCGGTAATAGTTGTGTATTTGAAAGCGTAGTGTCTGCTATCGTTCTTATCGCACCCTCAATTGCTCGGGCTTGCTTCCCGTCCTTTCAGTTTCGCCAGCCACCCACCGATCACGGCAACCCCTCACCTTGCGCAATTTCATCAAACAACATTGTCGCGACAAAATGGAAAAAACAACCCAGATGATTATTGGTTCGAAAAGAGAACGCAATCGCTATTAACCAGAAAAATCCAATCCAATCCAATTCCTTCTCCTTCCTTCAAGAAACCCTTCTTGATATCATGAAAAGCCCGTCCAGTACCCGACCCTTGTCCCATCCAATTGTATCCCAATCCGTCGCCAATCAATCAATTCGACCAAAACCGAGGCCGATGAAGCCGTCGCCATAAAACCAGACGCCGGAAACACCCAAACCCAAAATTACCCGTAATCTTTCCGTTACCGATTCCGTCTATCATCCATCATCCATTACTCGTTCCTGATTATCAACTTCAACACCGTCAAATCACTTGCCGATGCCACGGACCTTGAAGCCCAGCGACTGGAGTCCGATGGGATCGACGACATTGCGGCCATCAAACACCCATCGGGGCTCCTGCATCAACGACGCGGCCTCGAACCAGTTGACTGGCTCCTGGCTGATCTCCTCCATCATGGACGCCGCCAGACCAAATATCTCGAACCCTTGAGCAGCCGCCTCTGGCTTGAGTCTTCGGAGGGGGTCCTCGTCGGTAATGTTGAGCTCGCGAGAAACCATGGCCTCTAGCTCTAGGATGGCCATCTCGGTGAGCTTGCCGTTGACAAAGGTCTTGGCGGCTGGCTGGGACGGTGTCTTGACGGTGGCCTTTGTCGAGCGCCCAAGCTGAGCACCGCGAAACTGCTTCCACTGGGTCAGGATGCACACGGCGCTGGCCTGCTTAACCGAGTCGCGCCAGTTGCTGCAGATCTTGACGCGCTCTAGCTGAGCCTTTGTCAAGCCGATCTTCTCAATCTCCTCCAGGATCTCGTTGGCAGCACATCCGGGGTCGAAGATGGCAATCTCCAAGGGCATCTCTTCCGCCAGGCTCTTGATGATGTGGACAGCAATGCTGTTGCGAGTGTCGTTGGTGCCGTCCTTGAAGGCGAAGCCCAGCACGGAGATCTTCTTTCCGCGAAGGGAACCGTTCAACTCCTTGACAACCCTGTGAGCATACCTCTCACGCTGATACTCATTGATCTTCAGAATACCCAGCCAGTAGTCGGCAACGACATCCAGATGCAGCTCCCTCGCCAGGTACGACAGGTTGAGAATGTCCTTCTCGAAGCAAGATCCGCCGAAACCAACACCTGCCTGGAGGAACTTGGGCCCGATTCGCGAATCCTGTCCAAGGGCCAGGCTAACATCGTCCACGTCGGATCCCAGACCGATCTCCTCACACATGGCACTCACAGCGTTCATGCTGCTAATACGCTGAGCCAACATCGTGTTGGCGACAAGCTTCGACAGCTCGCTGCTGAAAGTGTTGACAGTGATGATACGTTCTTGAGGAACCCAGGCGGCGTATACGTTCTTGAGACTCTCCGCCGCTTTCATGCCGGCCAAGGTGCGGGCACTGCCAATCAGGATGCGATCTGGGCGCATGAGGTTCTCGACGGCGGTACCCTCGGCAAGGAACTCGGGGTTCGACAGGATCTCGAAGTCGTCGTTGGGACGGTAGTATTTGAACTATTCGCTGTCAGCGTTTGGTCCAGTTCGGGCATCTCCTGGACGTCTACTCACAATGTCTTGGATGACACGGGCTGTGCCGCATGGGACAGTGCTCTTCTCGACAATGATGGCCCCCTTCTTGGCGTGCTGCGCAACGGTCCTGCTAGCACCCTCCACCATGCTGATATCGGCCATCGACCCGGCGCCCAGGCCATAAGTCTTGGTAGGTGTGTTGACGCAAATGAAGATGACATCGGCCACCTCAATGGCCTCGTTTACCTTGGTCGAGAACACCAGGTTGGGGCTGCGGGCGTCGAGCTTGAGGGACCTGGGAAGACCCGGAATCTTCACCATTGTGTCGAGGGTACCATCACGAGCTGTCCTTACAACCTTCAACAACCCATCCTCGTGGATTGGTAACTGGCTAGAGTTCCAAGCAGCAATGCGCGCCTCGTTAAGATCAACGACATTGACTGTGATATCTGGGTTGTGGTAGGCAATGACGGCAGCAGTTGGTCCACCTATGCGATCAAGGTTAGCAGTCTTATCTTGCTGAAACAACTCGCACCGAAGAACATACCAACAAAGCCTGCGCCGACAAAGCAGATGCTCTTCACCGACTTGGTTACGGTAGGAAGCACCTCGGTCACATCTACTCGCGGAGCAGAGTCGACCTTCTCGGTCTGAAACCTCACCTTGAGCTCTGGCGAGCCTGATCGTGTGCTAGGCGGTGATGTGTTCGAGCTTCCTGGAGACCATGGATGGGCGTTCCATGAGCCTGGTGTTGAGGCCCCCGGGCTCAAAGCGGAAGCGATCGAGTGGGTGCTGGGAAGTGATCTAGTAAGAGGGCCTGGTGATGGAGAAATCAAAGGTGACTGGGGACCATCCCGGCGGGAACAGCAACAATGGTGAGTGTGGTTGGCGTCCATGTTGTCCTGATGTGCTGCTGATCAAAGTGAAAAAAGAGTGAAAAGAAGACTTGATACTTCTGTGTTGTCCGAATGTCTTGGAACGATGTGCTTTGCCCCCAAGGGTTAAGGCTGTTAGGAGTGTCTCGGGGATATTGTTATATATCCTACGTCTGGAAGAGGTGCTCAGGTCTGTTCCCGATGCAGTGGGCAATTATCTTCGCCATCTCCCGAGTGTTATAGCACCATGCCGGATTACGGCTTCTTGTCACAACATGATTTCCTCATGGGCCCGGTGCAGAAAGACCCGTCTTCGTCAGGGGTAACCCATGGCAGAAGCCATCACGCATCCGGGTATCGTCACAGTCCATTAGCAGTCCGTCTGCTGTCCGCCTTCTCGCCGGCACCATTGTTCCCTACCGCTGGGTGGGATTACCCATGACTAACCCATGTTGGACTGGGGCCAGAAAAAGTGCCAAGCTCACTTATTCCCTCGGACATCGACTTCGTGTCACCACCGTCTGAACACCGACAGGTTCAGCACCTTGACCTGGTCCCCGAGCCTGTTTCCCATTCGTCTCTTTCCCCAGGTACTGAGAATGGTTGTTTCAGCACGATAAAGTGGGGGATCTTCATCGCTGGGCATGGGTTGTCCGCAAGATGGACATGTATCCACCGTGATGAATACCACAGTACACCTCTCGACAATCCGGTACAGAAGTAGCCAGCATGTTGCTCAGGCATTTGCAAGTGATCGGAGTATAGACAAGCCTTGCTTCTCCAGTATCGCCCTCAGCTGTCCACAGTTTACTCTTACCTTCCTCTCTTGCGCTTAGCTTTCTCTTGCGCAAGGCTAAATGCGGTGAGCCCTACCGTTATCGGCCTGTCGTTAATGATGACTGTCACAAGCAAGTCAAACTTGGCGAGGAATTCCTTCTTGCGCGCGGATAAGGCGAAGATGGGCACTTGTGGCTTACGCCCACTCAAGCCAAACTCGTGTATCTGAAGGCTGATCGCAATGCAGTCGAGATCGAGGCTTTTCTTCACTCTGGGCTCCATTGCCAACCCCAATCGTCAGTCGGACCCGGAGTTTGTTTCTTCGGCTCTCCCCAAGATAAGGGGATCGGCGGCGGCTCTAACATGGGTTTAGGCGGGCTAGACAAGGGGCCATCGATGCCAGCAGCCAGGGCGGCCCATCGACGCCCTACGTATTGCGGATTAGCGCGTGCTTGGCCACGATTGTTTACTGACCCGCAGTGGCTGTTAGCGTGGCCCCCGGGACCAGCCCAGTGCAGCCACCGCTGAGCTGTCACCAATGGAGGTGCCGATCATACTCGGTTCGGGACGTGACTCGGCAGGGCCCTGACATAGCAACCCTGCTTCACATCATCGACAAACGCGATAAACTCAGGAGATTAGCGATGGCGGAGAAGGGGGAGACAGTGGACGCAGAGCGGACGGCAATGGGAAGGGAAAACTGCGGAATTGTCCGTTGTCTGTTTGCTTTCCCCGTCCACACGGCCTGACCGCCACCGCCAACCAACCGCGATTCCGTCAACCGGCCAACCGCCAACCGCAAGTAATGGGCCTTGGACCATGGACCATGGACCGACAATGGGATTCACTCACAACGCTGCGATTCTCCCATGTGCCAGACGCGTGGAGCTGAGATGGTCTCTGACGCAGCCAAGGCACCATGTTGGCTCGTTCCTTGGTACCCACATGCGCTTTGTGCCTTGGTGGCTTGCTTCACACGGCCTTTCTTTGTTGCTGTTCGTCGCAAGTCGCAAGAAATACGAAGGGATAACGGAGACGGCAATCCTACGGGTAGAGGATATGCTGGCGTGTCCAGGGCCTTTCCGGTTTTCTCGAAACATGAGATGCAGATCCGTGTGGCAGTACAGACGCGGGTTTGTGCTGCTCCAAAAGACGCCTCCCTCGTTTTCTTTCGTTACCCAGGACTTGCTGTCTCATATCACATCGCCCATTAATCCCGACTTCGACATTACATACGCCGCGGGGAAACTTCGACTCACTGAAAGCAGCTCTCGATATTGTTCCAGTCTGCAAATGCAATGGCGGCGCTAACTCTCCAACCACGTCTTCGCTTGTCGGTACTAGCACGTATAGCAACACTGCTGGCTGTCGGCCTGTGGGGCCAGACCACTGCCGGAGCCTACGATACCACCGTTTGCGGGCAAACGGCTTATACGATACCTTCCAACAACATGACCTGTATGTCACCGCTCTTCATTCAGCACTCACAGAGTCTCATTTCCAGTCAGCCTCAGCTCGAGTTTAGTCAGGCACGCCATACTTGTTTCATTCAGTTCAGACACCTAACCTTCACTCGTAAAACTACTCACAGTCAACGCCAACGCCTGGAACCCTGACGATGAAGGATTCCAATGCATATCCGTAAGTTGATGACGCCTTAGCCGCCTGGCAGTGGCCCATCTCTCTCTTCCTGTCACATCTTTGTTGTTCCTTCGCTCTTCGGCCCCTTTCTTAGTTTGTCTCACTTTGGACTGACATTTTCTTCTTTCTCTATCTTCAGGTCCAAGACTCACCGCCTGCCTTTGCGGCGACCTGGTCGTGGTCGTCGAATTCGGAGACGGTCCACTCCTACCCCCACGTCAAGCTGACGGCTCCAGGTCTGCCGACACCCTTGTCAAACATCTCGGCACTGGTCCTCTCCGCCCAATGGTCTATGGGTCCGGGGTCGACGCCTCGCCCGGCGCTGGTGGTTGACCATGACGGCCTGGCCAACCACGGCACATCTGCCAATGTGGCGTTCGACATCTTCGTTGATCCCAATGCCGCAAACGCACGCAGTGAAAAGACTGCAGCGACCGAGATCATGATCTGGGTGGGAAGGTTTGGCCATGCCGAACCACTCGGGTTCGATGCGAATATGAAGAAGACGTGCTTTACCCAGACTGTCGGGGATGCAGAGTTGTAAGTTTTTGCAAAATGCCTTCCCGCATCGCCGCCATCCGAGAAGCGGCCGGTCAAGGCAGCATCGTCCCGGATGAAAGATGACATGAGCAAAGCAAACTCTGACCAAACTTTGTACCCAGTGTCTTGTATCAGGGCCATAATGACAGAGGTACCAACGTGCTGAGCTGGGTGGCCACGTCCAATCACACAACCTTTGCGGCGGAAGTGTCGCCGTTGTTGCAATACCTATGGCGCAACGGCCTGGTATCAGCCGGCTCCCATGTCGGCTTGGTATCCTTTGGGTCGGAGGCGTACCATTCAGACGGCATCGTCACCTTCTCTGCATCGGAGTTTGACATGCACCTGGTTACCGGCGCGGCTCCGAACCTCGCAGTCGGCGACCTGCCCGCAGAGTGTTCTCGAGCAGCATCCACCAATCCTCCACAATGGCTGTTATCTAGCGCGTCGATCACGGCGGTTGTGAGCGCTACTCTACTCTATCTGATATCCTAGTCAAGACATTAACCTAATACACCACACCGTTTGACTCGGGGCCTTGGCGAGGGTACCTGCAGACAAAGCGCAGCAAAATCTGAGTTGCCACAGCCCGTTTACAGGCCACGGGGAAGACCACGACGGGAATTAGGATAGACGTGGAAATTCAGGGCAGTTGCATGCTCTGGACACGCCTCTCAAGCCCCATCACGAGGCTTTAATATCAAGCATCCCTGCATCGAGTTTCACATCGCACAAGTACGGTACACTGCATTTTTTCCCCTTCTCTGATTTACTTCAAGGTCGGATGTAACTAGCACGGAGTGGGTGGGAGGGTTGCTGCCCCAGGTACACCGTATGAGACTCACCGCCCTTGGCCATGAAGGTACTTAGCCTAACATCTCACTCCTCCCCACACGGACGGGACTTTGGGGGGTCCCCTATCGCAAGTGATCGTCGCCGCTAGCTCCGACTAGCTCAGGTACCCTGGTCTTGAGCCTCATGGCTTGTCGCTTGTCTTTCTCTAGTGATGGACTCACCGATGTCTTTGGGTGGGCGAGTGGCTTTTTTGTTGTTTTGGCTATTTTTTTTTCTTCGCTTGCGAGATGGCGGGAACGGGATGCAGGGCCCCCCAAGGATGGCTCCCAAAACTTCCCTTTATATGACTGCTTGGACGAGTGTTCATGAGTCTCGGATTGTCTTTCTTCTTCAGAGTTCACGATCTTCAAGACACAAGCCCTAGACGGTCTTGGGCAGTGCAGACAGATCATCCTTTCCCTTTCTTTCGATTCCATCCAGATCATCTCGATCTCTTTAGCCACACATTATGGCACCGCCTCAAGATAACCGGCCCACACCCGTGGCTGGTAACAGCTTCCTCGCAGATCCCTTCCAAGATCCTTCTTCGGACAGCGCATCATCCCAAGGCCCTTCGAGGAGACCTTCTAGTGTAAGTGCAACAACACCACGAGTTCATGTTTTGCAGATGTTGATGACTGACCTTCTTAAAGGAAATTCCACCTTCGCCTGTCGCTACAGCACCGCCTGCGGTTCCTGCCCCTGTGGTTCCTGCTTCTGCTCGTGCTCCTCCAGTTCCTGTTGCTCGTCCTTTTCCCCAGGTACAACTACCTGTCGATGTTATTGTAAGGGAACACCCCACGTTGTGCTTTGGTCTCACAAGGTGTACAGCAGCTAATCTTGAATAAACAGACTCCTGCCCCCGCTGCTCCTGCTGCTCCTCCAGCAGGTGAAGTCTCTCAACAAGAGTTTGATGAGAAGACCGGTGGTGTCTTGGCACCTGCTGGCGATGTCGAGCAAGGCCGGGCGGCCGCTGCCCCTGCCGGCGCGGACGCGGAAAAGTCCGGCGAGCCGGTCCGCAAGAGCAGGAATCCCTTCAAGCGCGGCTATTGGGCCTTCCGGAACACCTACTGCCCCAAGGAAGAGCCGGGCCTCGTCTTCCCTACCGGCCCCGATGACGAGGAGAAGCTCCGCTATGTGCACACCAATCGCATTCCCCTCTACATCTTCGGCATCATCTCCTTCCTGACCCTCTCGGCGGGTATGTGGCTCTTCGCCGTCTGCACCCCCATATTCGCCTGGTACGGCGTCTTCGTCGGCTTCCTCAACATCTACCTCATCATCTCTTACCTCGTCGGTGTCGTTGGTCGCGACTGGGACTACGATGGCCACAAGCAAATGGTCGAGCAATTCCCCATCACCGATGAGACTGCTCCTACCGTCGACGTCTACCTCCCATGCTGCTCCGAGCCTCTCGAGATTCTCGAAAACACCTACCAGCACGTCATCAAGCTCGACTGGCCCGCCACCAAGCTCAAGGTCTACGTTCTTGATGACAGCGCTTCCGATGCCGTTCGTACCCTCGCTGAGTCATATGGCTTCAACTACATCGTTCGTGACGACCGCCCTCGTCTTCGCAAGGCCGGTAACCTCCGCTGGGCTTTCTCTCGCACTCAGGGCGACTACTTCGCTATTTTCGACGCCGATTTCTGCCCCCGACCCGATTTTCTCCGTGAACTCGTTGTCGAGCACATGGCCGATGACAAGACCGCTATCGTTCAGAGCCCCCAGTACTTCAGAGTCACGGATGATCAGACTTGGGTTGAGCAGGGTGCCGGAGCTACCCAGGAGCTTTTCTATCGTGTCGTTCAGGTCAACAGAAACAAGTGGGGTGCTTCCATTTGCGTCGGTTCCAATGCCGTGTACAGACGAGCTGCTCTCGAAGAGGTTGGCGGTACTGCTGAGATTGGTTTCTCTGAGGACGTGCATACTGGGTAAGTTTCTTCTTTCTTTCTTTCTTCTACAGAATGGATTGGACAGAGCTCGTGTGAGACATGCACCCCGTATCCCGTATACGGCGCGGCGGCGGGTGTGTGTCACCTCTCGAGTCCTCTCCAACCCTTCCGCGCCTCACCCCTGCATGGAACTGTCTTGCTAACCACCTGCCACAACAGATTTGGCGCTGTCGATCGCGGCTGGAAGGTCAAGTACGTCCCGCTCTGCTTGGCCACCGGTATCTGCCCCAACACTCCACGCTCCTTCTTCTCGCAGCAGATGCGCTGGGCTCGCGGTTCCACCACTCTCTTAACCACCAAGCATTTCTGGACTTCCAACTTGAACTTTATGCAAAAGTTGTGCTATCTCTGTGGTACGTACCCTGTCACACAATCCACCCATTGTCCAATCAGAAACTGACCATTCCTCACGTAGGTCTGCTCTACTACTCGGCCGTCTCCCTCGGCATCTTCATCTCCCCCATCCCCGGCACCCTCCTCCTCGCCTTTCGCCCCGAATACTTCAAGTACTACAACCTCGCCTTCGCCATCCCCTCCATCGTCTACGGCGCCGTCGTCTTCCGCTTTTGGGCCAAGGCCAAGTACGGCTTCAACGTCCAGCACATCATGATTGTGCAGTCGTACGCCTACCTGACCGCCATCAAGGACCGTCTCTTCGGTATCGAGCTCCTCTGGGCTGCTTCGGGAGATAAGAAGGCACACAAGAGCAACAAGTACCGCAACATGCGCGTGCTGTGCACGTTGTGGACGATTCTTAATGTGGGTGGTATGATTACTGCTGTTGTTTACAGAGTCGGGTTTAAGGGGTTGCATTGGTATCACACCTTGCCCTTGATCATCCTGTCGACGTATAACTTGTATATCAGCCATTACTTTATTTTTGCTTCTTGGAAATGGTAAACACTTCGCTGAAGGGATTGTTATAGGCTAGCGGATGGATGGAGTTCTTCACTTCTTCTTGGGGCCGGACCTTGGGGTCTACTATGATGGCTCAGTTTGGGAATTACTTTTTTTTTTGGAAACATACTGGATGTCGGTGGCATCTAGATCAGGCTTTTGGATACGGTACAGGTCACTGGGTCATGGACATGGCCCACATGGATAAGACATGGTATACAACGGATGTACGAACGAACTTTGATGGATATTTGATGGATGGAATGTTTGAAGGTCAAGGGCTGGTCGGCTGGATCTGGATCCCAAAATTTGACATATATGCATGATGGATAAGATGATGGATGGACTGGGTTGGATACCTAAGCAATTACATACATAAACTTAATGAACTTACCGATACCTCAAGCGTTTTCTTCTCGTTTTCATGATACTATCTGGGAGCCCACCAACGAGATTATGGACATGAACCTGACCAAAAGCTTGACAACAAACAAAAGCGCTCTAACAAGCTCGGTCTTCGCCCGCCCTCGGAGTTGGAACAAGTACAATTGCCGTAGAAGCTTCAACTAATGCCATCTACATCACTAAGTAGTAACCTCACATCATGAATAACACCTTTACCAATCTCACCCCATATTTAGGGAGTTTCACTCTGCCTGTTGTTCAAAAGGAAAGGAAATGGAACATGGCCTCAATACATTTTTTTTTTTCATTCCACTCACCAGTCACCCCTTCCATCAGAAGGTCCTTCTCACACAGATTATGGCTGATTCGACCTGTGAAATTGTGTATCACCAAACGGATGAGCAGCCGTGTTAACTCCATTCCCTTCCGAACTTCCTATTTCATAGGTAACCGTTCCATGAGGGACGAGGCAAACAACTGAAGTGCGATGATGTGTAGCCAGATCAGAGTGTTGGTGGGAGGTTGGGTTGAGGCTGGTAAGGCTTGAGCTGAAGAACAGGGTAGGGGGTTGATCATGATCGTCGTTGATGATCTTCGTTGGAGACGCGAGCTGGGATAAGTGGGTGGAGCAATAGACGAGGAAGTAGGTACACAGTGCTTTATTGATTTGAGATTTTTGCTCGAGGTACATGTCCGTTTATCACAAGGTACGATGTTCATTACAAGGAACATTTAAGTAGTGATCAAGTCTCTGAAATGAAAATGGAAAGTTTTGTCCTTGGGTGATTATAGCAGTACGTTGTGCAATCCTATAGATAGATGTCTATCTATAAGCTGGGTGGGGCTTTGTGGTTGGGGTGATTTTGAGATACCTAGGTACTTGTTTGAGCAGATACGAGATACCTCTAGTCAGGTAGGAGCACCACCAAAATGCCTTCACTACCCCTCACTTCGTGATTTCGAACTCTCAATTTCGTAAGACTGGCTGAGATCGCGGGCGTCGGATCAAGTGCTTCAAGATCAAGCAAGAGTGACAAACCACAACCACTGCGGTTGGAGGGATAAGATTCTTCTTCGATAGTTGTAGTTACGAGAATTTTCAGGTTTAAAAGGACCCTCTAGAAGACAGTTCGTGCAACTGATCTTACTGCCCACCTACTCGTCGTATCTACAAACCTGAAACTGAGGGTGGGACTGTTGAGTAGGTACAGTAGGTGGGATTGAGCAAATTGAGATGAAACAATGAAGATTGTCCACAACACTGACGGAAGTGGCTTACGCCCCTACGAGCTCAATCAACAAGGCCATCACTTTTTACTTCTGCTTTCCTCATTCTTCCCTCCCGCTCCGTGGCGTTTCTTCCCCCTTTCTTTTCTCCTCTTTCCTCATCTTCCCCATCACGATGTACTTCGTCACTAGTGTTTGTGCTGAACGATGTGCTGGATGATGCATGTGAAAGGGGCATCTAGTTCCTCCTATCATCAGACCTACATTTAGTGACGAACTGGCGTCGAGTCAGCGTCGAAGTGTTATTAACTTATCACAACCAATCGGAAACTGATCGACGTTTGTGACTTGCTGAGGCGGGCGGTGAGGTCTTTGGATCGGTCGGTACCTAAGCTGAGCTGAGCTGGAGTGCTGGTTGAACTAGTGTGAGCGGGACTGAAGATAAGGTACCGATGCCTGAATGTGATTGAACAATTGCGCGAGTTGTGAGGAGGATTGGGTAAGAGGTAATGTTGAATGCAATTTGTTAATTGATAACTCAGTTCACATGAAGATCTTCGTGTGCTTGACGCCGACACGCCGACACGAAGTGGAAGATCGAGTCTCTGGTTCTTAGCATGGACCCGAAGTGTTTGTTTATCGGCATCGACTTTGAACGTTCCCGTCTTTCACAGTACACGTCTATTGCAATCCCTCTCCCATCTTATCCCCTTCATGCACGTTAGATTCGATGATGTTTGTTATTTGTCAATGGCAATTCTGCATTCTGAACATCGCAATCACGACTACCTTACCTAGATATCGCGAGCAGATATGCCAAGCCGGAGATTTTTATGTTCAGTTGTTTTGCCTCCTTCCCTTTCTTCTTTTCCCGGTGAGTGAGATGTTGCCAATTTGCCTCGCATTTCATCATCATCTATCCATAATCCGACGCACTTGCGAGCGGCAAGAGCTCATATTGCATCGGGCAGAATGTAACGATCCCTCGAGGACGTTGACTTGACTGTTGAGGTATGTTACTTTGCCTATCCGTCGTCTCATGCGGTGCTCTGTCTCCTTTGTTGATCCCGGAGTCCCGCCCGAACGCACAAAGTTTGTCGTATCCAGGCCCCAGGGGAATCAATCACGGTGTTCAACATCAACATCAATGGTCAATGTTGTGTTGACGCTGTGGTTTGCAATATTTGGTGTTGTGTTCATGAGTTAATATCACTTCAATTCTCAACACCAGGGCAGGCAAAAACAAGGGACTAGGCATTCCAGACACCACGCGAAGTCCTTCGGGTTGAACGATGTTAAGACAGGCAGGGGCTGGATGGGACTGATGGAGGGGCGGGATGCATATTAAGGTTCTGACTCAGCATTCTGTTGGGTCTGCTTGAAGTGTGGAGGGGTTCAGAAGAGACATGATCAGGATCATTGCTGCGTGAGTTAAAGGGACGTCCGGTCGCGCGAGAATTCCTCTCTCGGTTTGTTGTTGTGGACATGTGGGCACGGAGAGGAAAGAGGAGTCGTGAACCCGAGACATGGCTTGTCCGGCAGCGCCTATGGAAGGTATTTTGATCTTCTCTTTCCTTCCTCCCTTCCCTATCCCTTCTACGCCCGAGTTCTACGCCACGTCGCCACCAATACCACGCACCATCAGTCCCGGTGCCGAAGGCCACATTCACGATGTCTCGCATTGCGCAGCGCCTCGCGCCTTTCGGGAAGAGGAAATGACACCCTTCTAGAAGAAACGATAACCGGACGGCAAGGCGGAAAGAAACAATTACCGGACGAGAACAGGCGCACCCGCCGACCCGTCGAAAACCCGGCAGCCAGCCAAGCGGGGTACTTCATACTTCATACTTCATTATACCGGATGGACCCGAGGTGGTTACACATGTTATGTGCAGCTAGCCTGGAGTGCCCTGGAGTACCTAGGCGAACTGCCCTAGGCAGATTACAGGATGTTAGCAAGATGCAGCATCCCGAGCACAGCACCGGGAAGGAAAGTGAAGAGAGTTTGTTGACGGCGTTGTTTTCTTCTCCTTGTGAGCTTGTGAGACATGAGTGCCACGAGGTTGTGGCTGCCTGGGTTGTGACAAGGACAGGGCGTGCTTGGGTATGGGTGGAGGTAGTCTCGTAGGCGAATTAGTCGCCGAATAGTGACAACAATGGCAACACTGTGGTAGGATCGGAACGGCAGTGTAAAACATTTTGCGCATGTCGTGTCACCGAAACACCAGGTGAGACCCTTCCCAATGTGCGGCAATCTCGCGGGATGACTGGCTGGCAATGCCCATCACGACATGAACCCAATCTGGAATTGCGAGGAAAGGAAGCGTTTCATGGAGTGCGATGTCGTGGAACCTGGACTCGTATACCAGCTAGGCAGGGCATCATGGTGGGCTTTCCATGTCTCCCTCGTGCGAGCACTACCAACGAATTCCCCGGGTGTTACCCGCTTTGCGTCTTCGTGTCGCCACTTTGAGGGGGAGATTGAATGTCGCCATCGCGGTTGCAAACGTGCAGCTGAGGATCTCGGGGTCATCCATGTTGATGGCAGTAGGCTTGATGAAGGAAAATGCCCGTAGATGCACATGTCGTTTATTGCCAGTCCGGTCCCGAATGCGGCCGGTATCTAATCGTGAAGATCGTCAAATATCCAATTGCTTCATATTCGTCGCGCTTCTCGCCAAGACTCCCTTCATTCCCGCCGGCCCTTCAAACAATCCGCTCCGGCACCCGCTCCAAGGGCGTAACCACCGGGCTATCGGCATACGGGCTGATGGCACCACCATCCTCGATAGCAGCGGGCGACGTGACCGGGCTTTCCACATCCAATATGCTCCTTGCGTCCATCCGGTCCTCCATCTTCTTCCTCCAGGGGCGATAGATGAGCACCGACGCCAGACCGACAACGACAAACAAGCCACAGATGCAGCCTCCAATAACGTCGTAGTGATCGCCTATCGCTTCGACTCCATCCCAGAACCGGCCTGTCGGCTCGGCCACGTTGTAGGCAAGCGACAGGATCTGGATGACGCCGATGAAGGCCGACACAACGACTGTGATCCCGGTAAGGACAATCGAGTAGTACAGGATGGCGACCACGTCTCTCGAGAAGGCCTTGGACGTGTACAAGGCCATCATGAGGGCGCCGTCGGTGGTGTCGAGCATACACATGCCGGCTGTTGTGGGGTCTCGTTAGCAATCATCTCTCTTCCTTCTCAAACTCCCAAAGTGCGAAACTCACCGGTAAACAATATCGGGAAAATCAAAATCAACCAGATACTCGTCCCCTGCACGGCCTGAATGCTCGCAATGCCCAACAAGGCAATCTCGGAGCTGGTATCGAACCCCAGTCCAAAGAGTACTCCAAGCGGGTACATTTTCCAGGGCCGATCCACGATGGCAAACACCCTCCTGAACACTCTCGCCAGGAACCCAGCCCCTTCCAACTGCAAGTTATTCATCGCCTCCTGCTCCTCTTCCGCTCTCAGATCCTCCCCGTCATCCATCCTCCTCCTTCGTTCCCTCTGCTCTCTGAGCACAACCCGCAATCGCTTGACCAACTTGTACAGCACCCACGCGTTGCCCACGCCCAGCACAATAAGAAACGCCGCAGACACAGAAGTGCCAATGATCCCGCCCACCCTCTGAAAGTTATCAAACTTGTCCCTCAACGCGCCGCTCGTGGCAGCGACGACGATGCAAGTGATGATGACAATCGTGCTATGCCCCAGGCTGAAGAAGGTGCCGACGGCTACGGGCTTCTGGCCGGTGGCGATCAAGCGGCGCGTCATTAAGTCGATGGCGGAGATGTGATCGGCGTCGAGGGCGTGGCGTAGTCCCAAGGTATAGGAGAGGACAGCGGGAGAGATCATCTTGGGGAAGTAATGCAGGGTTATGCCGACGCCGGCCCAGACGAGGCAGTTGATGAAGATGAGAAGGGCAATGAGGTGGAGGGCCGGGCGGGGGATGTAGGAGAGGAGTGGCGGGAGCCGGACATTGGGGAGTCTGAGGCGGCCCATGGTGATGGTCGATCGGTCGTGAAGTCCGGTCGGCGACGGTGGTGATGGTGACGATCACAGTGGTGAACTTGGGGGTGAAGTTATCGAGAAAGATGTCGTCGGGTGTTGTAGCCGTGTTATATATCTCTTCGTCCCACGCTGCTCGCCGGCCGCCGGGATCGTAGATGAGTGATTCCTCGATTACGTAAAACGGCTGGGGCTAAACGTTTACCAGCGAGTGAGCCGATAAGTCAAAGGAAGTTGTCGCGAGAAGCGCAACGTCGTAGTATCAAGTCTTGACTTGGTGGTGACGCGTCCGCAATTGTCTTAGCCGTGGGCGTGAGAATCAGTGATCCTTCAAGGATGGGGGCCGTCAAGGTCGAGAGGGACAGAGAGAGAAGAGCAGAGAGGACCTGCCTCTGGAGGGGAGAGCTTGCCAGAGAAGAAAATTCTCACCCTCATCTCGGTCTGCCCTGCTTCCTGTGTGGCATCGGAAGTCCTGCCGAATTGAGGCTCTCTTTCCTCCCGTAGATCGGAGTGTTTGATTCTCTTCCGATGCTATTTGCTTGGAATTCCCCACGACCAAAGTCTTGGAAAAAGGGACAAAAAGTCCAGTGGCCATTGGGAATTGCGAATGACGCCTCCATCGAGATAAGCTTGATAGGCAGGATAAGCATTTGAAGAAAGCTTATCTTATCTTTTAATATCCCAATTAGTAACGCTCTGTGGGGTCCGGCACACTCCGGACCCGCTCCGGTCAGGAACGATGGGCACCGTGGGGTTTTTTCATCCCGCTGTGGGGCGCCGGCACTATTCGTCTGATGTGTAAGTGTTAGTTCAACCGCTGAAAGAAAGTTCTGCCTAACTATGACCAGACAGCCAGGTCGAACCTCTTCAACGTGCACTCGAGGTTGAAAGTCAAAGTGAAACTACCAATCCGAGTTCTTTGCTATTTTCAGTCCCATTATTGTTGGCATGTTGGGACTTTGAAGATACGAAGGTTCAACACACTGATGGCGGCACTGAATTGTTAGCGCCATTGCGTTAACAGTCTACCCCAACACCTCGCAACAGAGTACCGGCACAGAAGGTCCAGCACAGAGAACTAAGCACCACCGGAACGGCAGTCACCGTCAAAAGGCGCGTACTTTTGTTGTTGTTGTTGTTATTTTTAACGTCTACTTCCGCCTCCCGTAGGGCATGAGACGTGCCGCACCGGTGAGTCTAGCATACAAAATTAAGAGCAGTGCCCTAATTGTCCACCAAAACCATTAATCCGAGGGCAAACCGAGGCCTATTGCCAGTGTAAATCATGTGTTGCCCATAGCGTAAACGCGGCCCAACACTTAAAATCGAATCGCCCAGTGGGCGAGCCGCCAGAAAAGGCGCGTACGTGTACGTGTAAAGAGGCCATCACGACGATGACCAGCAGGAAGGGGTGCATTCAAAGAGGAGGAAACCACGGCTGAGCAAGATCCTACCTCTAGTTGGGCACGACAGAAAGCATATACAAGTGCCCGAAACACTCGGGTCCTCGGATGAAAGTCATCCACTGTTACCGTCCGGTCTTGTTCCCGTCTACCACACCCAAGTTTGATAACTAACTGGCCAAGCCCGTCAACCGCCCCAGCCGACCTACAGACTCAAGGCAGACCGGGCTTCGGAGCCTCATCCCAGCTATCACCCACATTCCGAACGTACCGCTTCCCGCGGACACAATAGGGGTTGCCGCCGCGGCTGTTGCTGTTGGGCGACGTGATGGTGAAGACGGGGCCGTGCGGCTTGGTGCCGGTGCACGCGTTGAACAGGCCGTTGCGCACCCGGTACGACGTCCTGCCCACCTTCATCCACGCCGCCACCCAGTCGTGCTCCGCGTGGCAGATGTTGATCTCGCCAGTCGTCGTCGACTTCTCGACGCGGAACCCGGCGCTGATCCACTGCGATACCTTGGCCCCCCGCCGTGAACCGGACCGTCTGTGACTTGACTTGCACATGGCCGATGCTGCACTCTCCGTTTGTGCAATCCATGGGTTTCTATTCCCAGTCCAGGTTCTGCGTCAGCTCTGTTCAAGATTGGGTACACTAGATACAGGTTGGAAACATGGACCAGACTTACCGTTACCTGAATGTGCTTGGCCGTCTGATGAGGATCTCCATCGCCTTCCCTGATCGTGGTCGGCGTCCACTGTGAACAAGGGTTGTACTGACGCTCCGAAAGTGCTTCCTTGTCGTCCGTGTCCGCGACCGTCTCATTGCCCCCGATACCGGCAGCACCAGCCTCTTCCAAATCCAGTTGCTGCCATGTACGCATAGTCTCGGCAAGAGGAATAACCCGCCGGCCTTCCTGAGCAGCTCGCGCCACCTCGGCAACCTCGAGAGGCCCGCCGTCAGGGAAGCAGCTTGGCAGCTTGGCAGCTTGCTTTTTTGAGCAAGGCTGATGGTGTTGAGTCGCAACACGTCCGGTGAGACTCCCGGCACAATGCAGCTGATCAGAGTCTCGGTGTCGCTGACGATACTACCGCAGTCAATACCGCCAGAGACCTCGGGGTTCCCGCTAATGGTATAGGTTTTGTCGTCAAAGGTGAGGGTTCCGAATCCATCTTGGTCGACATCAAAGGCAATAGGACTCTTGCTGGTTCGACCCGTCTTGAGTGCGAGAGACTTGGAGCAAGATTGGGTCAACAGTTGAGTATGGTCTTCATTCTAGACCTCGATGGTAGACTCCGAGGTGACCTTGTTGACCTGGAGATCGATGTTGACTTGCTGAGTCCCAGAGGTGTCGCGCGGGATGCCCGTACCGGATAAGGGAGATGCTAGTGCCACTGGTGTGGTGACCAAGATGAGTTGAAGAAACTTCATGGTTTCTGCTAGGTCGAGGTAAATGGAGGCGGACAATTGTGGGTGTAATAGACAGAAACGGATGGATGTGAGAGGATGTTGGAGGACAAGTACCAGTTTGTGTCGGCGCCCGGTGGCCTTTTATCCCTTCGCGTCGCGTGTCCTCTTTCCTCCTTGAAGCCCGTACTGACGTGGATTGCAGCCATACCAAACAGTCTTGACTTGTCCAACTTCACGTTACCAACTGGTACTTGGCATCCGCCTCCAGGACTGGACTGTCACGGCTTGCTGTTTTGGGTCCATCCGACGCGGGAGGTGAGACTCTGGACCGCATCTCCGTATCCTCAACAGGAACAACGCCCCCTTGGCAAGCAACAACCACCTGTAGGATATGGATACCGCTTGCAAAGAGGTTGCATATCGTCAACCAATGGAGGCTGTATCATGGTCTTTTCCCTGTTGAAAAACCAAGAGCACTGTGCGTTCTGCGCGTTGTGCAAGGAGCCTCATCCGTCTCTCCACGGGTCGATGGATTCCACCAAGATCATAGTCTCCATCCCCAGACGAGAGCACGACCCCAGGGTATAGATGACTCCAAAAAAAAACCAAAAGGCGGGAGGGGGCTTGGGGAACGGGCCGCAGATCTGCAGCGTTGATGGCCATGACTGGCAGGCGTATTCCACAGGAGCAGGGGCTACGATCCGTGATCAGTGCGAGGCCTTCGTGAAGGACCGCAATGTTGCACCCACCTTCGCGTGCAGAAGCATTCACCAAGAAGAAACCCTACCATGCAGCGTCTTGTATGGTCGTAACCACATCCAGACGTCCCTTCCGTATTGCTGGGCAGCATTTTACGCATCGCTAAGAGCCTGTTCTTCTCCTACTTCTCTCATTAGTCGTCTGAAAAAGACATTGTTCCAACAGGTTTCAACGGACAAACCTCAAGACCTTGGTTTCTTTGTTTAAGACGCTATAAAGCTCAGTGATGATCAGTTGTTCTAGTTTGGTTGTGTGAGGTATGAGGCTGGACGGTCCTGAACGTCTAGACTGACCGCCCAGGCAAGTGATCAGCAGAGGTGGCATTCGCTACTCAGACCAGACCAACGCATTACTCCTATAGGTACGGGGAAATGCCAGCCGTACCCATAAGACCTGCCTTGCCTGCGTTCGATCTCCGTCGCCGCGACCCCTAAATGTGCTAGGTCCCAAGATGTCGGGTCGCCTAAAGAAACGGCCAGTATGATTGGCTTTGGGGGCATTCTCTCTTTTTCATGACAGTGGCGCTTGCCAGCGCTGCAATCCACTATTCAGCCTCTTGGCAACAACGGTCTCGTCCTCCCAGCCTCACACTCGACATAGGAAAAGGGGACTCGTGACAGCAGTTCCGGCAAAGAAGGTAATATCGGACGGAATAGGGTCCGCTCCTGATCGACAATCACCCATGTTTCACTTACCAACAGAGACCAAAAACAACATGACAATTGTGGTGGTTTAGCACGAATGTGGAGAAGCCAGGTTCGAGTCCCTCAACCGCCTTCCTCTTTCATCATTGGTACACGTCTAGGCGTTTCACTCCGTCTTCTTCACACCGACCGGCGTCAGCCTGTCTTGCCAAAACTGCAAGCATCTAAAAGATAACTACCCCGAACTACTTGCCAATCAGCTTCGGCATTGAACCAAGACACTGTGTGTTTCTCTATAAAATAAACCAGACGGTAATCTACCCTTTCTGCCTACCTATCTACCTTTTTTGTCAATGTATAACTGACTGACAGTGCGCCCAGCCATCATCTCCACCTACTATACCTTTACCCATCTCCAAGTCCTACGAAGGAAACAGTCAAAGCCAACAATACACGAGACACAGAAACCAGCGGTACCTCGGACGACCACCCACCGCAGCCCGCAACACATCAATCACCTCACAACTCCCGCACCGCGACAGCCATCAAAATGTCACATCCACCTCCACCACCAACAACCCTATCCACATCCACGTCCCCAGCCCTGATAGCGGCCCGCGGCACTCCCTCCTCTTCGACCCTCACAACCCCCCCATCCCCAACTACAACCTGCAACCACGAAGCAATGGTAGTCGACCTCCCGCAAATCGAAGGCCTCCCAATGTCCCGCTCCGTGTGGGCCATGCCGCGCTGGGACGAATCGCTCGCAGGCATGACGGCGTGCTGCAACCTCAAGCCCGACAACGAGGTGCGCATGGGGGGACCGGACGGGTGCGCGCTGTGGTGTTTGATTCCGGACGTTTTCCTCTTCGAACAAAAAGAAAAGTTGAGAAGGACGGGGGACGACGACGACGACGAACGGCAAGAGGTGGGATCGCGCCGTGGTGTCGTCGGCTATGAGGCAGTGTGTGAAGGATAAGGGGAATTTGACGGGGCCGTATATTGCTGTTGGGCAGATTAAGGAGGGGGTGCTGCGGCGGCGTTATCGGTATTCGATGGGAAGGTGTCTTTGAAGATGGTGGTGGGGACGGCGATTTGGAGCGTGGTGGTTTTGGGGTTGCTTGGTTAGGTACTTGGAGGTAATGTGTAGGTTCTATTGTTGCGGTTTTTATAATCTTTTTGAACAAGTACTCTGGCAGGTCACTGAACATTTTCCTTTCTCTCCTCCAGACCTGTCTCCATGTCCATCGAGGTACCTTAGGGAAGGAGCAACGTCGTTACTGCCCACCGTGGGGATGTCGTGCGCCAAGAGCCCAAGACGTGATATCGCGGAAGGCAGTGTTAGTGAGTGCCATTATCAAGAAAAGGTCTTTGCATTTCTGGGCATACCGATGTAACCGCTCGTCGCTACCGCACCCATTCATAGCGAGAGACTTGTTTCCACGGCTCTAAAATCTCACGCATACACAAACGTTGGGCCGTTGGCGTTGGGCTGGGCAAAAACCCGATAGCTTGGCTGAGTTTGCCGTCTGCTAACCGACCGGGTGAGTGTGTGATAGACAGGCATGGTGGAAGATAGGTTGTACTTTATGAAGAGATGTTCCTGCCCCTTCATATCTCTGAGGTACTTTTTTTTCCCATTAAACTTCCTCACATCGACTCGACTCCCGCTATTCAACTCTTCCTACCCTAGCTACCTACCTTCGGTACCTCTATCCAGATTAAACCACCATGTCCTCCCAGCAATCACCCGCCGCTCTCCTGGCCATCCGCGCCGCCTCCGCCTCGTCCAAGGCCATCATCACCACCATTCCCACCATTCCCACCATTCCCACCATTCCCGTCACAACCACAACCTGCAACCACAACCAAACCCCCAACCTCTCAACAATTCTAGACTCGGAACCAGACCCTAACAACCGCCTACGAGACGCCAGCATCTTCGCCATCCCCAACTGGAACCAAAGTCTAACGGGCATGACGGCTTGCTGCAACCTCAAACCCGACAACAAAGTCCACGTCGGCGGCCCAGACGGTTGCGCGCTATGGTGTTTTATTCCCGATGAGTTTCTTTTTGAACATGATCAAGAAGAAGCATCGAATGATAAAACTCCGGATGAAAGGACTTGGAAGGAGGAGGATGGAAGAAGGATAAGAAACTCGGGATTGGTAGCGGGTAGTCTGATGGAGAGCTGTATCTTGAGGGAGGGGAATATCACGGAGAGTGGTGTTGCTAAGACGTGGCAGGCTGGTATGGAGAGCAGTGGTGGTGTGTCGGCGCGGCTTGGGTTGGGAGGAGTGATGTCGATGAAGATAGTCGTGGCTGGGGTTCTGTTTTGGGCTTGTTGGCTTAGGTAGGTTGTGGTCTCTTGTCAGAATCATGTTGGAAAGATGTCTCCTACTTGAAATAAACCAATTCTTCAATGCTATCAACCTACTTGGATTGTGACTGAAGACTAAACATGTCTTTCGTCCCTATCTGTATGAGAAATTCGCTCTGTAACTCGTCGAATAGCTTTGCTACTCATTCGCTGACGGTATTCTTCCATGTTCCAGCCAATCTCAATTCGAACCATTATATCCCATGCCTCAATGTAACCGGCCAAACATCCTCTGTGTATCTCATGCGTAGACGTGGATGTGCACCCTGTACCTGAACCCAAATAGCAACGAACTATTCACACCTTCTGTAAGTTCAACCGACACTGTTCCAGTGTCTCTCGCCCGCCTTGTTGTGCCTCGTTTGCCTCAACCTGGTTGTCCTCCAATCGCCGTTGTTGATGTCAAGTGGTTCAACTCAAGACCGTCATGCCTTCGAAGTTCGGTTGGCCTACCTCCTTTGTTCGCCACGCTTATGCCCCGGCATTAGATAACTAGGCCTTGCTATACGGCTTCGGGATGGGATCGCCCTCGTAGACAATGAATGCCCGCTCCTATAGTCATACATATCTGGTCAGTGATCGGTTTTTGGGATGTTCGAGAGGGGAAAGCAGAGTACTCACGAGATCCATGCCATGCGTGTGCTTGAACCAGCAGTCGCTTTTATAACGACAGTCCTTTCCCCAGGCACAATGATGTCCGGCAAGGCAATAATCGTCTTTGCAACCACTTCCATTCTTACAAACCACGCTTCTCGCCTTGTACCAGAGATACGTCCTCTCCTCATAGGTCAAGGGGGGATCGACCTCATGGACGTAATCACAAGTGCCATTTCTACTATCAGCCTCGTGCCTGCACCGACGGATCAGGTGGTAGCCATTGCAAAGGTTGCGATTGGACTTGCTTGTCCTGTCTTCAACGCCTTTGCGACCTTGAGCTTCGTGAGATCTGCAAAAGGGATAATCGATACGCTGGTTGTTTGTGTTGAGGTAGAAGAATAGCCCGTTGTTACGCTGTGGGTTCCGCGAGTTGCCGATAACGGGACCATTACTGCTGGCGTGCCGGCCCACTTGGATGTATGCATGGGCTGTACTTCTGCGAGGGCGGCCGACTGTTTGGTAGCCGTCGTCATCTGTTGATTGTCGATCTCTGTTCTGCGGGCCAGCCAAGGCGGGTGCTAGGCTTTCGACTGCTTGAGTTTGACTGGGCCTCTTCACAGGAGCGGATGATGGAGGAGCTCCTTTCAAGTGACCTGCTGAGGGACAAGCGCCATTTGGCTTTTGAATGCCAGAGGGGGTTTCCGGTTGATTCTTTTTGCCGCTAGCTGGCTCCTGGGCCTTTGTTGCGTAGGTCGGCGGAGGGCTTGGAGGTACCTGAATGGGGCCGAAGGGGGTGCTGAGGGGGTGGCTCGGGTGGCTGCGCCTTTTGGTCAAGAGAAGCTCGGAGCGGAAAATGTTTGGGAATTTCTGGAAAGCAAAATATTTGTGCAATTTCGCGACACCGCTTACCGCGGGTGACGTCTCCACGAGGGTGATCTTGTCCGATGCCCATCTGTACTCCTCGAGATAGGTGGCGTACCCGTTGTCATGACACGCAGCCAGCATCACACGCTTGCATTGCTTCAGGTGCACCATGAACTCGAAATGCCTAGTGGCCTTGAGGTCGGCCTTCTCCTTGCCGCGGCCGACATCAATGAACTCAAAGAATGGCTGAGCTTGGGAAAAGCCGCGACCAAACTTTGTAAGCATGTCTTCTTCATGTATAATACCGGACTCCATCATCGCCCTGCTGAGACCTTCGACGTTTATGAATACCTTAGCCACGATGTCCTTGATATGGTCTTTGGGATTGACCAGCTCCAGGTATGCCTTGAGCTCGGAATGGAGCTTATGGGCAGCCTCGCGGCCACCCTCCTCCCCTAGGGCTAGGTAGTCGTCTCTGAACAACGAACCATCTCCATCAATGATTAGGCAGCCGAATGCGTTGGATCTCTGCGTGATGCCGTTATGTCAGCTGATGTATAGTGTGTATGGAAAGGATGAGGACAAAGAGCATACGTCATTCATAAGAAGCTGGTTCCGTGCTTTCAGGTCACGGTTCTCTGCTTCCAGCTCGTGAACCCGACATTCAAAGTCCTCACTAAATCGTTTGAACAGGTCGGCTTTCGAAGACAGGGAGTTAATCCTCTGCTCCTGTTGTTGGATTTTGTCTCTTTGGTCGCGGTTAACATTCAGTAAGAGGCTCAGACCTTCGTTTAGGTTGTCGTGCAAGGCGTTATACTGGTTGAGGTTGGTCTGAAAGTGATGTGACACGTAGAAATCCAGATCGTCCTGCGGGGCAGAGATAGCATGCCCATCCAAGGGAGGTTGGTCTTGATGGCCGCTACCGTCATAGCCGTTTGAAGAGGAGCGACGGTCTGGTTGGCCGTTTCTACCATGCCCGTTTGGGGGAGGATAGTGGTTATTCATGGTGAGCTTGTCGCTGTCAAGGGCGCCAAAGGAGGGGAAGAAAGTAGGGTAATGCTGATGATGTGGTGATACTGTGTTGAAAATACAGCGGTGCCGGGATGGCCAAAAGGGAATAAGGGTTTTCGACTGCTCGCGAGAGATGGGGGTGCAAGTTGTTTTGAGGATGTTTTGGAGACAAAAAGATTAGCGGGAAAGGGAACGGCGGGGGCAAAGAAAGGTTAAGAGTGGGCCCGGGTGGGATGAGTGCCAAACGGTTGACAGGTGAATGGGATGGGTGAAGGGGATGGAAGACCAAAGGCGAAGGGTTACTTGTAAAGGAACGCAGTCGCGGTCCAGGTCGTGTCCCGTGCTCGTGCCGTGGTATCGCAGTGCAGTGGTTACTGGCGACTGCCGTTGTCGACTGCCCGAACTGCAGACACTCAAAGCGACAGACTCGGAGGTCAAAGGTGCCCTCTAGCTGCAGGTACTTGCCGTAAATGCCCGCGTTCTTTCTCACACAATGTCAGACGAGGCAGTAAAAGAGGTAGGAGCTAAGCCTTTGTAAGGCACTTGTGGCACAACCTACTAGCATTAGTCACTGCCGCCTGGACCAAGCACCTTCCAACTCCATGGCTTGCTTCATGTCGGTTTGGCAGGTACAATCCCATGCAAGTCAGAGTAACCTTCGATGCCCTGGCTATCGCCGCGCCGCTTCCGCACAATCGGGTCCCGTGTGAGACCCTAGAATGTAAGCCCGACTGGTTGATGAAGAAAATTGTCAAACTGGCAATGGTCCGAAGTTTGGACTGTGAGTCCATGACTTTTAAAGCCTGTTACCATATGAGACTGAAAGAGAGAAAAGATTGGGAAAGTGGTTCTGGTGGCTTAATTGGTCCCAGAAGTAAAGAGGTACATGGTTCGTCTGAAATGGGGGAGTGGATGGACACTCGAAGCTATCACCATGTCTTGGCTTCTTTGGCATAAGGTAGGTGGTTGCGATCCACACATGTTTTTCGGTCTCATATGGAGCTTGGCTACGGTACCTATAGACATAGAATTTAGCCATTTCTTTATTGATCTTTCCCTTTCTTCGATCAAAAAACTCAACACACCACTTGCGCCGTTCCTCGTCATCACTGCCTCCGCGCAGTAGAAGTGGCACTTGTTATGAATAAACGTGTCAGAACTCAGAAATACATGCCACTTGCTTCGTTTTGCAGTTAACGTTACATGTACCCGATGGATCGGTACTTGACATGATGTGCAAGGTACCCTATGAAGCATCCAAAGCTGTAACGGCTTCAGCCTAAATGACCTCGATATTCAACCACTCCAACGGCCACGCCGACAGATGATGCGCGCGGTTGATATCGGTCGTGCTACCCATCCATTACCCGCACCCTGGTGAGTTTTGGTAGAATAAACGACCAAGGGCAAAAGGAAGAATGATTTGAGATCGTCGAGTATAAAAAGGCGGGTGTACACCGCAACGGGGAGCAGTCGTTTCCTCTTTCCTTGCATCATGTCATGCCATGCGAGTTGTAGCTGACTTAATTTCCACTTCCCCAGTCGAGTCAACTAAAGCGCGCCTGGCAGCTGGACCCTTCCAATCAACAGTTCAACATCCTCAGCACAATGCACATGCGCCTGTTCCACTTTCTCACCTTACCTCTCCTCTCATTATGCAACAACATCTCCAAGGTTTCAGCCCCATACGGAACTTGGAACCTCTCGGTTAGCGGTGGTTTTGCTGCCTCTGGCTTCCGCTGGCAGGATATGCTGGCCGAGTTTACCTACAGCGAGCACATTGGCGCAGTCGTCATACCGACCATCACATCCGAATGCAACTGGTTCTACGATCCACGGATTCCTGGGTATAACCCGCCGCCTGGAACGTGTAACGACACATCGTTCGGATACGACTGGCCGAATGGAGGGACAGGAGTGACTAGTATGTACCAACAGCAAGATAGGACCATGGTGCCGTTGAGCACGGTGCTAACGAAGAGACCTCAGACATTACTCTGCATCAGACGGTCAAGGATCCTGAGGACGGGACCAAAGCAGTGGCTGTGACGGGCACATCACAGATCGAATACCGATGTGGACTGAATGCTGGCAGGACGTGTGCTGCATCGGTGGTCGTTGAGGCCTTTGAAGGCAGCGGATGACTGGACTGGAGGCAAAGGGTCACAATGGCAGACATCGTGGGGAGAATAAGGGAGCAACAAGTGGTTGATGAGCAAGTCGCAGTAGGTAGGTGATCAGAGCAGTGTGCCTAACTCAAGGGCGAGGATCTCTGACAGAATTGTACAAGCCGCTGCGTTAACTCTGTCTCAGCCCTCACTCAAGCATCAGGTGGGTACTGGTGCCACAAAAATGAAGTTTCTCATGATCCAGAGTGTGCACAGCTTGTGTGGTTGCAGCGTCAACTTTTCATCCAAAGAATGGTAATAGCCGACTGATGGGTTGGGATCTGGGAAAAACGGATTGCCGCAAGGTAAGACGGCTCAAGCGGCACGAATAGGACGACGGAGCAATCTCCGATGGTTCCTGATTCAGATCTCGAAGAGACCAAGAGGCGGGGAACGGGATGTGATCATCGAATGCCTATTGGGACGGCAGTGGCATGTCAGACGGAGGAATGTAACTGTGACCCTCGCCTCCAGATATCGGAGTCACTTGGTACCTTAGCGAATGCCGTCATTGGGGATGGAAGGGTTGGTACCGAAGGAGTGGCTGGTGCCTGCCATTGCTTGGCTCATGCATACTTCGCATTAAAAGCAACAGGCACTCCGCACTTTTGTCCCACAGTATGCGCGTTGTAGGTATCTCGCTCTTGCTTTCATCCTCACTTCCACATCTGGCTGTTGTCTGCCAAGTGCCAACAAATCCACAGCTGCCAGACCAGCACGTACGCACCGAGGAAGCAAGTTGACACTGCAGCACCAAGCACGAAGAAAGGCCAACATGCGCATCGAAACCCTCTGGCAGCTCGCCGCTCTCGCCGCCCTCACCGGCCTCGGCCACGCAACATGTCCGGTCGGCGGTGACACTTCCATCATCGCCAACACCGGCACTCCCGTCGGCACAACGGAAGTTCGCAATAACAGTACCTAAGCTACCGTCATCACTGCTACTTGCCCTCCATCCATCCCTTGACCCTTCTCCTCGCCCTCATGACGAGACCCATCCATCCCTTGACCCTTCTCCTCGCCCTCATGACGAGACCCATCGATCGCTAACCATCACTTTCCGCCCTCAGTAACACTCTACATCACCCGCCCACCCTCAAAGTCCTGCTCCGCGCCCGCCCACCCAAACACCGCAATCCTCTACCTAACCGACGTCTTCGGCCTCGCCCTCCCCGAGAACCTTCTCCTCGCCGACTCATTCGCCCGCGCCGGCTACCTCACCGTCGCACCGGACCTCTTCAATGGCTCCCCCGCCCCCGGCGACATCAACGTCCCTGGCTTCAACACGACCCTTTTCCTCTCACAACACGGAACCAACGCCACTGACCCAATCATTGCCTCCACCATCTCTTACCTCCGCTCTTCGTTGAATGTAACCCGCATCGGCGCAGTAGGCTATTGTTTCGGCGGGAAGTACGCCTTCCGCTTCCTCGATGACTCTCTTTCTCCTGAGCAAAGGGTAGACGCAGCGTTCACTGCCCACCCCAGTCTTCTGGAGGATGAGGAGATTCTGGCCATCCAAGGGCCGGTGTCAGTAGCACAGGCAGAGAATGACAGTATGCTGCTGCCCAAGAGGAGGGCGGAGATCGAGGCGCTGCTGAAGCAGACGGGGAGGGAGTACATGGTTAGTTTGTACTCGGGTACGCCGCATGGGTTTGCGGTTAGGGCGGATGTGAGTAATGGGGAACAGAGATTTGCGAAGGAAAGCGCGTTTTTGCAGGCGGTTAGGTGGTTTGGGGAGTTTCTGTGAGGAACAGAGAAAGCGCGGGCGATGGGAGGGGGCGGGGTGCTAGACTGCCGGACAGCTGCTTGGGGGAAAAAGATGCTCAATTTTAGGATACAAGAGAGTAGCGGGTGCTGTTGGTGTTGGTGTTGGTGTTGGTGTTGGCGTTGGTTTGGTCTTTTCGTTGGGGCGGGATGTTGGTCCGAGGCGAGTGTTGGTGATGGCGGCAAATTCGGCAGGACATCGCTTCTATAATAACGCAGATACGCGAAAGCTCTTTGTGCCATCACGACAATGTATTCACACTTCAACATGGCATTTTTTACACTTTTGTAGATGTTGATCCTCTTCCCTCCAGTGACGCCGAAGATGGATCATAGGTTGACAAACGCGCGCTATCTCCAGGAGTCCGAGCCGGTAGTGAGTATAGAAACGATGGCCAGAAGACAATCCGCTCAGTGATTGAGATCTTTATCTCCATTTGTCAGGACAACGGCCGACCCGCTTCGAAGTTGTTGAGCCCTTTGGCTGGTAGAGGTTAGCAGTAACGGAGTCGGAAACGGCATCACCATGATATAAGCGTACTTGTAGTCTCGACTCGACTCGGTGTCTGTCTTCTGGTAAAGCCAACAACAAGCAACGCATTTAACCATGTTAACAATTGAGTGGAACTTCCTCTTTCTCCTCGTATCGCCCACATCAACATTCTTCGTATCCGAATTATCTCATTCACCCCAGACGCCTCAGCACAAACATCTCACAATGTCGGCATCATCCTGCTCCTGCATGTCAACCACCTCATTGGTGTCAAACACTGATACAGCAAACACCATCCCAGATGACCACAAGCAATCCTTACCTCTAAGCGACTCTGGCGATGACGAACCCACTGCCGATATTTGGCATCAAGCGTTGTGGACAATTAGGCTGGGACCAGACAACACAGTATATCTCCACTCCGAGGTCAAGAAGCTGTTGGCGATGTCACCTATATGGCACCAGGAGGCTTTCTTGGTTCCGCACAGAACTTACGACAGGTCCAGAACTCCCGGTAAAGAAGGAGATCCTCTGCCTTACATTCAAGACTATAAAGCCCTGCTTCTGGACCCAGTCGATGCGTACAAGATGGGCGCCGTCACACGAGCCTTACGGAACGCACACCCCAGAACGCTTGCGCACGTGCTCAAAGAAACTCCGCATACACAGGGCTGGATCAAATTTTGGCTGGAAGTCTTCAACCTCGTCTTCCGTCACATTGTTGACGCGAACTCTGGGAGTAGGGTTGAGAACGACAAGGATACTCGGAACATCTTCAGGGACATGCTCAGATGGGACATGTTCAAGGGTGAGCGAATGGTCTGTGAGGAGGTAATATACGAATACTTCCAACCATTGCCGGGGCACATTAAATATCTTCACGAACAACAAGGCACAAGGGTTATCGATAAATGGTCTCTTCCTGGTTGGTTACCGGATGACAAGGAAGAGAAGCGGAAACCTCCTCAGGAGAGCTGGTTTCATCAAATCCTGGTAAAGGAATCACCGCGGGTATCTAACCTGCATAATGGCTTGAGGGAGTTGGAAGGTGAATTCTGTAAAGAGTTTGCGGGTTACAAGAAAGAGGTTGGGGATGCTGAGAAGGTTTTTAATGCCGCTCGACGGGAACTTGACGATGCTGAGAGGGCGGTCAAAGCCGCCTGGGATGAAATCCGGAAGGCGAAAGATCGAGATAAGCCCGCCATGGAGAAGGCGGCAATAGGGAAGTATGAGGCAGCAAAGAAGAGACAAAGGACCGCGGAAGAGAAGTACGAGGTTGCCAAGGAGAGATATCAGACCGCAGGCAGCAAATACGAGGTGGCCAAGGCCCAGAAGCAACAAGACCCGGAATGGAAATTGAGACTTGAGGAGATGGCAGCGAGGAGAGAGCAGGTGAAAGAGGATCTAGGGATTGAGCTTCAGGGCGGGATGGAGCACTACCAGAGGAAGAGGCAGAAAGAGGAGGAGAAAAAAGGGAGAAAGGTATTGGAAGGTGAAAATGGGAGGAAGGAGAGGGAGGAAAGAGATGAGAGGAAGAAGAAGAAGCCAAACAGGATGCTGAGTATTTTCGCCATGAATGAGCCTATTTTTGGGCGCAGGGGCACTTAGTTCTTTGGTTTTTAGTAGCTCACATGTAGATTGAGTTATTGCGCACCCTAAAATGCTCTAGGAATCTACTTCAAGGTGTTTCACGGGTGTGGCGATTGGGCATGAGTTGAATAAGGTAGGTGTGTCTGGCATGCGTGAAATCCATTGTCTTTCGTCAGAGTGGACTGAGGCGGGAGGCATGAGGGGTTCTCCAGGAATACGCGGTTCTTACAAACAACCTGGGAGGTCAGTAGGTGCAATTCGGAAGACGAGCCGTGGGATGTTCAGGGAGTAGGCAGTGTCGGTAATGTTGTCCGCGTCATGCTTGTCATGTGTCTTGACCTCCCAAGTCCCGAGAAAGGGGAAGCAGCAGAGGCGATCCAGGCAGTATGTATCAGACTGGGTGAGCATGCTATGGACCATGTGGTCTAAGGTCACCCAGTGACATCTGACCGAGGTCTGTCACAGAAGGCTGTTGGCGCCGTTGGCGTTGGTGTTGGGACGGGTCGTTGGTGAAGAGGCCGGTCCTGAATCGCGAGCAGCCGTCTAGAAGCCGTCTCCATATCAATGCGATGCGGCGCCTAGCTTTAGAAGGTGGCGGTTATGAAGCTGGTGAGTCATCCGGTTATTCGACTTTGGACCCCGATCATCCTCCTGATGCTTTCCGTGTCCTTCGTGGACCTAAACTGGCGGCAGCATTTCCAGTTAATATCACGACACGGCTCGTTACCTGTACTCGACCTTACTTATCCGACCGAGGACTCAAAGATGTCCCATCACGAACTGATCGAAATAGATTAGTTCCTCATATTGATATCACAAGTGCCACTTGGTCACCAAGCCAACATAGACGCCCCCGGGTTGACCGGCGAGTATTGACGCCTGAAGGTGCCGGGCTCACGTACACTAAGGGATGCCTACTAACAATGCGCCTGGTAATTCTTTCGATTCAAAGATGGCGTCATTGCCAACACATTGGTATACCTCTAGATTAACTGTCTTGTGTTGGTTGTACAACGGTAACCAACTTGATAACCAGGACAGCCCTTGACCTCGACTCGTCGATAGTTGGGGTTTAGATCTGATAAGGAAACAAGATCAAATCTGAATGTATAAGAACGATGGGCTTTCTCTCTTCTCGAGCTGTTAAAGGAAGTCAGAAAGCACCAGAACAAGATCAGCACATCAGCCATTGTTTCGCACACCAGTTCCTCAGACACTCGACAGCACCTCTAGGAATCACTCAAAGCCTCAGATCATCGTGACCACTTGAGAAGAAGTCGCCGAGAGACACCTTCTTTGCACACAATGTCAAAGAAAATACACGAGGATGGCTTAGACTCAGGCGGTCATGTGGATGTTGATCCGTCCGGCCAACCCGAGGACCCCGAGCTACTGATCCTAGTTGTGAAGGAAGTCTTTCACCACCTTTGGTGTGGAAGATGGTATCCCTACGTCAAGCCAGCGTACGGTCTCGAATGGTGGGAGATCGTTTTTCCACTTCCCGAGACAAACCAGACGATCAATTCCGACACTGGCGAAAAATTGCCGGATTTTCACCTGCTCATGGAAATGATGCAGGATGACATATCTGCCAAAAGAATAGGCTTCGCTATAGCGGGACTGGTCGTTTTGACGAACGAAGACTTGAAGAAATGCGCCGAATCCTATGTCGACGACAGGGGCGGCAACCGTCTCGCCATTTCCGAGTCGCACTTGAAAAGATGGATACGCACGATGGGGATAATGGTGGATATCCTGCGCAAGCCCTGTTTTTTCGCGTACGAGGCCTTCCAAATTATTTGGAAACGACTCGACATTGCCAGAGACGACGATGGTAGACGGGCACCTTGTGTTGACAAAAAAGATGTGCTAAGGATCTTGAGTAACGGTACCTCTGGATGTGGGTGGGACGAGACGGGAGGAAGATTCAGTCTTCTCAAAGCGGGCTTTCAGGAGTTTATGGACGAATCTCAGGAGACATGGATAGGAAAGGGGCGGGATCGTGAGTTGACATTATTCTATGTTGATTAGTTGTGGGTAAGGTCGGTGACCCAGTTGACCGAGCTCAGAGGTTCTTGATCTATACCTAGAGAGTAGAGAGAACACAGAAGAGCAGAGGAGTAGCACTGGTGACCGGGAGGGAATTGGATTTTATTTGTATGCAGACCTCTCTAGGTAGCTGGCTCTATCTCTTGGAATGGGACTTGACTTTCGACAAGTTTCCTTCATTCCCTGAGGAATTCCACTCCGTAATGAAGCCAGGGTATGGCGATATCTAGGTAGCTGGCTCTATCTCTTGGAATGGGACTTGACTTTCGACAAGTTTCCTTCATTCCCTGAGGCTCCTGTCTTGTATCTCTACGAGGTGGAAGTTGAGGTTTTGACGGCATTGGCTCAATATTTCAGAGATCTGGAGTTTTGGGATCTGTCTGATGCCAGAATATAAGAGATTGATCGTGCGAGGCCGATCTTGAATGTTGGTAGACTATGGGTCGTCTACAAAGGAGCCAAGCCGAGCCCAAGTTATGTGATGGAGGGCTATTTGGAGGCTGCTGGACAGCCCTTTTAAACCTCCTTCGAACCTGATACCAGTACCAACACTAAGTTTCGGTAGATGTACCTTATCCTGCCTGCGAGGACTCGCACTTGGACATTTCAGGAGAGTCTTCCCTGAAGATAGCTGTGACGAGTCCCGCATTCGGGATTGTGTCATTAGCGCCTTGCTGGACGGTTACATCCTCAATGGCCAAATACCTACCTTATCGTCGGCCAAATCTTTATCTCAAGGGTTAACAGCATTGGGGGTCAAGCTTTCGCGTACAAGGATGCATCCAGCTCCTCGAAGAGGAGAAGACAACACTTGGACAAGCAACATGAACCAGCGATAACTTCAATCCGGCTGCTCGACCACCAACGGCTGGAAGCTTTTGTTGCAGCCCAGTTTCCGGAAAGGCTGGGGGCATCGTTGGTTCCGAATCCTAATTCTTGGCAGAATGGCAGCACAGGTTCAAGGGTTGTTGGTACTTGGTCACAGGGCCGTTTCTGGAAACGGACAAAGGACAGCTATTGCCAACCAACCGAAACCGATTGCTCAACAGAGGATCCAACAAGAAATCAGCTGGGGTGTTGGTGAGAGATATCATAGCTAGGACACATGTGATGAAGCGCGACTCATTCACGGCGCCTACCTGCATCAAATGCTGGTCCAGTCCCATGGAAGCAAGTGAGCCGGGTTTTACTCTCACCATGGTCCGATAGACCTGCATTTCGTAGCGTCCGACGCTTTGTATTGGGTACCTATAGGTACCCCTATTGAAAGGAAATTCACGGTTGGCGTGATGAGCATGAGTGGTGTGATGGTCGCTATTGCCATCTCCCAATACTAGCAGAGGGAGAGGAGAAACGACTATAAAAGGAGCGATTCCTCTGTTTTGTTGAAGAAAATGGAAGACAGAGCATTTCCAGTCAGACCTTCCAAGACACTGATCTATCACCTCTCAGTTCAGCTTCATACCTCTAGGGAATCAAGCTACCTACCCATTTTCTTTCCACGCGCATTCATTCGAGCCTTCCTCAACATGTCGCACCAAATCAATCCAGCATATTTTCCATCAACAAACTTCTCCCTTTCCGATGGAATAAATCACGACTTTTGGCCATTACTTGATGTCAACAGGCTTCAACACTTTCAGGAAACCCGACCAAGTTGTTTTGAAGAGATGATGGGCGCTTTACAAAACAGCAAAGACGTCGACCTTGATAATCTTTCTTGCTGGCCCCAACTAATATTTCCCATTCCACTATACGTCGATCCGAGAGACCCTGACACTTTCTACATGTGGCCGCTTGAAGCTCTCAAACTTCTGCAGGACGCAACCGTGGGGTACAACATTGGATACGCCCTACAGATCTTTGTCAGCATGGATAACAAAACGCTGAAGATCATTCTTTCACGTCGACCAGGGTTGCCAATTGAAAGAATATATTGGTTGAAAGCCTTTGCAATCCTTTTCGATGTCGTAACCAGCATTCCTGGAGTTGAAACAGACGAAGAGGCTCGAGGCCTCTGTTCCCGGTTTCTGACAGAAGGTTGGGCGAAAGTGCGTGTTGATATGAAGGAGATACGCGAGTATTGGCCTCCGGTAGAGTCAGATCCGAGCGGAGAGCTCTTCTTCGAGGACGGGGTGTGGATTTACCCCAAGACACTACTAGCACTGCAACGGAGACAGAGCCAACCAGAGATGAGCCCATTCCGAAAGGGAATGCGAAAAGACATGGATGATGTTGCACAGAAAAGGAGAGCCCAACATGAGATGCTAGAGCGAGACGGGAAGAGGAAGCTGAATTCGGGCCGAGGGAAGGCGCGGCCTGGATCGCCGAAAAGGAAAAAGAAAAGAAAGCGTCCAACGACCTAGCTCTGGAATGGAAGAGTGCAATCCAAGCACTGCAAAATGAAGTGCACCTGGATCCTTCGCAAGCTGAACATTGGCCTGTGGACTTGGTCTTCCCGTGAAAGCTTCCACTTCCTTCAGACACAGCCGAGGAGACCAAGGGGCAGCACTCACCACAATTCAATCAAGTCAATTTTCACAGCGAAACTTGAGTTATTTGAATATACTGAAGACGATGATTGAATTAATTGACTTGATTGACATACTTGAGACGATTTTGAGGCCTGCTAGCAGCTCTACCGCGTGTTGTCTCTGTAACTGGCGCCTGTTATGTCACTCTCGCTGACAGACGTTAGAGATCGGCGGCGTCATCGGCAGACGTTACTGGCGTGAAATAATGCCTCCAAGGTTAATTGCATCACGGCGAAGCCAGTTCTTCAACCATTGAACCGTCTCGAGGATCTCTGGATTCATTGCGAGTGTCTGGGTAGTAAGAGTTGGCTTCGCCAGGCTGAAGGCCCTCTCGCAGTCTGCCGCCATTGCCGGGATCGAGAAGAGGTCTAGCGCCAGCGTACTCAAGGTCGGGAACTGCTGCCGGCGATCCATCCACCACGTTATGGGATTATCGATTTCGATAGGCAGCTCCAGGCGTAGATACCGCTCCAATTCTATCGCATCCGAGGCTCCATTTCGCAGGCATATAAGATCGGTGCCGAGCCACTG